CTCGGCGCGACCGAAAATGTAGTTGAGACTCTCCATATCTTGCTCAGCGTCCGCCTTCTCCCTGTAGGGCCTTGCTTAAGTCTTTTGCTGATTCTTGACTAAGATATCAAACGAGAGTAATTGGTATCCCGTCCTCTCGAGTCTCGCACCATGTGAATAGCCTGCCAGAGTGATTAATTTTGTTTCAAAATTCACGGCCAAGTAGAAAGACAAGAACAATACCTGCCGCTTCAAGTCTGAAATCCTGAAATGAACTTCTTGAACGTCTTCCAGAACTTGATGGTGTGTAGGTAAAAGAACACGAAAATTGTCCCCCGGCAAGTAATGCCCACTGGAACGCAATCAGAATTACTATGCGCCTGGAACTCCATAAGAGAGGGTACTTGCCTGTATCATACTCCCACCTTGTTGTTAATTGCCCTCAGAGCTTGCCCTATAAAGGCTAATGCGCTGCTTGCAACAAGAGAGCAACCCAGCTCCCAAATCCCACAACTACTCTTGGGAGGTTCAGACTCTGGCCTCCTTCTATTCTTTCTAGAGCATCCAGAAACATCTCATCTGTTTGCATCAGCTGTAACATGAGTGCGATCATCAACGAGACCGAAGATGCTGCTGCTGCCCATGAAAGCCAATACGCCGCGTCTGCGGTGGCTCGAACGGCGGTCGTTATAGTTGGATCAGTCTCATTAGTTAGAGGAATACCGAAGAAGTTGCCTCCCGTAGCAAATCCTTGGCTAGCCGAGATAGAAACGGAAACCGTGATGGTGGCAGTAAAAGCGACGAGCTGAAGGTAGGCAGAGAATGGTGGGCTATGTGGTCGTGACAGAGTAGCATGCGGGGTTTCCTGATAGGTGCCTGTCGCTCCCAACACGTTTGATGGCACTTGGCCCCTGGTTGGGGATCGTGGCGCTGGTTTCGTAGCCATCGTGGCCCCAACAAAAAACCTCAGCCTTGAACCAATTTGCAGTCAAAGCGCGCGGAAGTCTGAGAAATGGAGAGGTGGTGTGGTGGATGAGAGTGTAGAAGCATGGCCCATGACTTCAAATGTGACGCCGGACACTGCCTCTTTATGTCGAGCTCAACACGCTACCGCATCACGGGTCATCGTATAGCGAGCTAGCGATCTCCGGGTTCGTTGCCTTCACTTTTAGCCTTGGTTGCCTTATTCAACTACACCAAATTCGACTGAGTAAAAACGCCGAGATGGAGCAGTGCCGTTCTGAGATCATAGAGGCGCAGACCATCGCAACATAAATTCACTTGCATTTAAGACGATTCCAAGCACTCCGAGAAACTCATGGATTGTGACACACTGTACACACTTCACTTATCGCCGGTTTCGTTCTTACTCATCACTGTACCCTGAAAGAGTTCCAAGTTTCCGAGTAAATCATGGGTGCGTCACAAAGTCGAGGCCCCACGACTCCCCAAGGTGTCACAGGTTAGTTAAAATGGTTAGAAACTCTGTCAAAAGCCCCCCAGTTCTCATTCTTTATGGTTGAAGGTTCAGCGCTGCAGACACAACTGGAGAAGGAAGGGATGTTGGGATTAGGAGGTCTGGGCATCATCCGCCATATTGTCAGCCATCAGACACCTGGATCCGTTATCCGCGTCATATGGAACAGAGAGCATAGCACCCTGCAACACGAGTATCTCCTACTGCGCATCAAAGTCCAAGATGTAGCAGAGATCTCATGGGTTAGACTTGAACGAATGGGCGACTTAGGCAAGCAAGCACCAAACAGCGAAGCGAAATTGATGTTTATACCGGCACCTACTATGTCGAGTCTTGTTCACCATGACGACAAGACTATACATGATGTCGACCTGGAATCTTCCCCGCCAACTCTGGCGAACATGGCCAACATACTCTCCATCATCCACCAAGTGGCGTCCGACTACACCTTCCTTCACCATAATTGTTGGTGGTTTGCTAGACAAACCTTCACCGTTCTCTTCACTCGTTTCATGCCTGATGGAGCCGAAAAGAAGAGACTTCGGGGGAAGTGTAGGATCAAGAATCTAGAGCACGCAGAGGCACCGTATCATTCTGCGTGGCGTGGGCGGTTGATCCGAGGAGGGCTGTTGCTTGTTACTGTACCTGTGTTTCCTATTGCTTGGCCAGTCATTATTGTAGGAACGGCAAGCATTTCCGGATATGCGATGTTTGTTCTTTGGAAGACTTCGAGAAAGATCGATGCCCAGATCGATGATTATTTGCACAATGTGGCGGACTGATTACGGGGTTGACTCCGGTATATCGTTTGGTCTGTATGATTTGATGTGAAGACTGAAGGCTACATGTAGCCTGCAGGATGTAATCGGGCAGTCCTTCGGAATTGTATTTCCTAATACTAGGATTGTGGAGTAGTTATTTGTATGAAGGAAGAACACAATCTATGGTACATTGTCTCTCGTCGTACGTCCGACGACCAGCGTGCAAGTCGTAATTGAAGCCTTCGAAACGGCTGGACGAAAGTCGAACCTTGGTAACAGCTTCTCTCTAGACAGACCTTCAGGTGGTTTCTATTCGCAGATTCAAGCCTCTAATATCAAACCAAATAGACCAACGCAATTCTACCACTACTATTGCTCACTGTCTCTGAAGTAGAAAATTCTTGAAGTCTTCTTGTCGAGCAACTTGTAGGTGTGAACTTCCTTTCCCGAACTCCCTGTTCTACATGTACTATTAAGAGAGGTCGTAATAGTGTATAAGCATATTGTGGACTAACAAGCACAAGAAGTAGGCTAGGTACTAACTCAGAGATATCTATGATAGCCGAGGATCTCCAAACGAATGGTATCCGATGTGTCGGCGGTCGGTCCGGTCTTTGCAGCGTCTCTAGATGCGGGGTACTTGGTTCAGCCAGCTGAGTAACCGAAATGTCTTAGATATGTATTTGTTGAACGATGCCCTCGTACCGATCTGCTTTTGAGGAGCTGCAAGGAAAACCTCAACAACCTGTGCGGGGTACGATACTTATTTCTAAAGTCAATTACTTTCCAAACTCCAAGCATAGCGCATCATGGCCGCCACCAATAGTGATAACTTCGCAACGCTGAGTCTCAGCGACCGCTTTGTCCAAATTATCAATGGAAAAGCTTCTCAAACGGAGAAGAATCGACATGGCATCAATCCAGCGAACCTGAGAGCAAAAGCAGAGGTCCCTATTGCTACACGCGGGGATCTTGACCTTGCCGTCGCCGCAGCAAAAGATGCCTTCAAAGGATGGTCGAAGGTTCCCTATGAAGACCGGAAGAAGGCAGTCCTGGCGTATGCGGATGCTGTTGATAGCTACAGAACCCAGTTCAGGGACTTGCTAATCTCTGAGCAAGGAAAGCCTGTATGAACAACGAACCCTTGCGTGAATTTATCTTCGCAGCAGCGAACTGCCGAGCCACGCTAACACCGCCTAGATCCCTCAAGCAGACGCCGAGACAGATGCTGCTATCAGCTGGATCCGTGGCATGGCCAATATTCCGCTCCCAGAGGATGTTGTAGAGGACAACGATCACCGAACCATCATCACTCGTTACGCTCCTCTGGGTGTGGTTGGGGCTATTGTTCCTTGGAACTTTCCCTTGCTCCTGGCCACAGGTAAGATCGCGCCAGCTCTCCTGACCGGAAATGTGATCATTGTGAAGCCCTCGTAAGGATACGACACACTTTAAAGCTTTGATATGACCGCTCATGAACACGCAGACCTTTCACACCGTACTGTGGGTTGAAGCTGGTTGAGTTAGCACAACAGTTCTTCCCGCCGGTGTGGTGCAGTCCTTGAGCGGAGACGATGACCTTGGCCCTTGGTTGACAAGTCACCCGGGCATTGATAAGATCAGCTTCACTGGATCCACAGCGACCGGAAAACTGGTGATGCAGAGTGCTAGCAAAACTTTGAAAAGGGTTACATTGGAGTTGTGAGTGTACCATGAGATCTGGTTCATTGAGGCAAAGACTAACGCCAGAAGGGGAGGAAACGATCCCGCCATCGTGTTTCCGGACGTAGATGTTGACAAGGTCGCTGAAAAGGTGAGTTCGACCTGAAGGTTCTATAAGCTCGCGCTTACTAAAGCAACACAGGTGGCATTCTTCGCCTTTCTCAACTCCGGCCAGGTATTATTTTTCCCGTTCCGTTTCATTTTCATATCGTCAAGACTACATTTACTCACCGATACACTTCGATCCTAACCCTAACCCTAACCCTAACCCTAACCCTAACCCTAACCCTAACCCTAACCCTAACCCTAACCCTAACCCTAACCCTAAGGGTTATAACCTTGGTGATGGCTCGCAACCCGGGGTAACTCACGGTCCTCTACAGAACTCAATGCAGTATGAACGAGTCAAGACATTCTTTTCGGATATTGAGTCGCAAGGATGGAAAGTTGCCGTTGGGGGCAGCATCGAGAAGTCCCAAGGCTATTTCATAACTCCTACCATCATCGATCGGCCTCCCGAGAAGTCTCGTCTGGTTGTCGAGGAGCCTTTTGGTAAGTTCTTCAAGTAATGTCCTGCTGCATGTATCTTGGATCTCTGACACATCTCGAATAGGACCTATTGTTCCCCTTCTATCCTGGAGCAACGAAGACGAGGTTATTTCCCGAGCCAATGATACGTCGATGGGTCTTGGAGCATCCGTCTGGTCGAACAATCTGGATAAAGCAGCAAGAGTTGCCAGACAAATTCAAGCCGGTAATGTCTGGATCAACACACACTTCGATCTCTCACCCCTCGCTCCGTTCGGAGGGCACAAGGAGAGTGGCATTGGGACCGAGTGGGGCGCAAATGGCCTGAAGGGGTTCTGCAACGTGCAGACCCTGTTTCTTAACAAGCAAGTTGTTAGCTAGTAGGTCACTCTTGCGATTCAGCTTCATTTGGAACGTTTGAAGCCAGTGGTGAATCGTCAATTCTTTGACCAATCACTCTATGCATTTCGATTTCCAATCACAAGCTTGGAGCCAATTGTGGGCCCTAAGTCTCTATCAAACCCCATTGCAATATGAGCCAGCTCAAGCTCAGTCCTTGATCGAGGGCGGAAAGAACTCTACTTGAATTATGATATCCTCTCCCTCACACCCCCGCCCCCAGGCATGTTGTATTCGGAGCCCATTGTCTCTTCTCTGCCACCCTGGAACAACGCGCTACCTTGTTTCTTCGGGTCTCGGAAACGGTCCAGCGTAGACTCAATTAGTTTCTAGCTACAGTATATCCTACTCACGAGCACGTAAATTGCTTTCTCATCGTCTCGTTCTTGGTGCACCTCAATACACGAGCTTCCGTTAAATTTGAATCAGGAACTTGTCGGTCTCACAGTGAGCATACCCTGCTCATTTGCCGTCAAGCTGAGCTCCACGGACAAGGTCCCGGATGTTATTATGGCAACAGCACAGCGGCGCGTTGTGTACGTTTTTGTCACAATCCACCTAACATGAGTTTTGAATGTTTCCTTGCTCTGACGCAGCATCTCGCAAATGTTATCGGTACATCTGACTAAGCAATACTTGACTGTGTAGCTCTCTAATAGTGACTGTATTTGTTCTTGGTACCTCTAAATAAGTTTAGTACTTGAAGTAGTACCATACGGAGAAGTTTGGAAAAAGGGAGTTCTGAGCATCTTTATGACGCAGTTGCCATGGCTCAAATCCTTTTCCATATAACGATACAGCCTTAGAGCCTTGCTATTTAAGGTCCTTTGGCACTGAAGCTAAACCGGGGGGTATTGCTGAGTGGTTGAACAAAATCCTGCGTTCCTGTTTCCTCGACTGAATACAGCACGTGCTTCTCGAAATGCTGGCTGGAAGAGACACTAGCTGGAGACAGGGTTGATGTGTAGCACGAGCTACCCCTGTTGGACGGTGACGCTAGGATTGCTCTACTCTAGCTGGGCATACCAAGTACCATCCAGGCGGTCGAGAACGATGCAGCCGGCGCCGGTGGTTGGGGTCGGGCTGAGACTCATCCCGGTAGCGCGACCGATCGGAACCCTGATCGTCTCCCTGACCGTGCCGGTGATGGTGTCCTGGTAGTTGCTGAAGATGATGGCCGCGCCGAACAGCTGGGACCGGTTGGTGATCTGGTATCTCAGCTGGCGGTTCCGGGTGGTCGTAGACGAGAAGTCGATGATGACGCGAACGTTACGGTTCGGATTCCATTCGATGGAGCGGTGGGCGTCGAGATCACCCTGGATATCTCGGCGGTTGTCTCGGTTGATCCTGAGAACAGGAAGAATGTGGGAGAAGCAGCTCTGACGGGCTTCAATGGGAGAGGAATCGAGAGGGGCGACCTCGCGGACGTCCATGTTAACAGCACCAACGACTGAGTTGTCGGGGGGACTCAAGGCCGTGGAAAATACAGAAGTAGCCAAAGTGGCAATAGTAAGGAGAGCGGCAGAGAACTTCATTGCGAAGATTTCGTGGATGTCTGGTAGAACGATGGTATGTGTAGGTGTATGATGGATATCGAAAGGAGCGAGTCTAGTAGGAAGAGAAGTGATGGTGGTTTAAATATCCGGTGTCTTGGGTTGTAGTGTAATCAGAACATTCTTGACGGCACAAGACCTTTTATAGAGAATTCACGATGGAACTTGTATCAATATTACGGCCGTGGGCAATGAGTCCAAGGTTCGATTAGATCCTTGGCAGTGTACTGCTGACAGTGGCTGGAACATTATTAGACATCGTTAGGCAGAATTCACAAGTATTGAAGATGAAGTTGTACGTAGTAGTCCGCTAAATGGAGCAGTTGTCATGTGTCCACCAAGCTTTAGGTTTCACGAGTTACACAAAAGACCCATTCACCGCGACGGATCCGCATAACGCCTTAGTTGAGGCTGTGAAAGCTTAATTTCGTCTGGCCTGGCGTAATTTCGCAAACCTTTTAGTGCAAAGTCAGAGTAATTGAGAATCGTGACAAACGTGCACGAGTCTAGTCTCGATGGAGCTTCGCAAAGGCTTTAAGTATTGGGCTCTTGGCGTATCAACTCTCACTTATTGGCTCTTTGAAATGAGTAATATCTCAGACTTTACGACAGCCTAGCACGTGGTCAAACACTCGACTTTAAGCCTTCGGTTTCGAATTTTTGACGGAAACGCTTTCCGGTCTCGGATTTCTTTAACCAAAAGGTACTCAATGTCGAGAGCTAAGAGCTCTTGGCATTTCAACTTCTAATCTAGTAGTACATCTGTACTTGAGTAAGAGCCATGTTAGACTTCATGAAATCCTTGAAAGAATCAAAATCAGCTTAGATACTAGGAAGGTCTTGATCTCCGGCGATACCGAGGCTCTGGTATTTGGAAACTTTGTGGGATTGGAGAATTTTAGCAGCAGTTGAGAAGACTGGACTCCTGGGGGTAGAAGAGGGAGGAGGGTGGACTTGTAGTTGAGATTTGCAACCGAGAACAACTCCCCCAGTCGTAAGATCCTGGGGCTTTGACTGATTCCGATGAGGTAAGGTATGCTGAAATCTAAAGCATACCAATACTTGACCTGAGCCAAGTCGAACTGATGGTCGAAGAGTGCTTTGTCGTTTTAGGGTGGGTGTTAGCAATGGCCATTCCGACAATGTACTTAGCCGCGACAGCAACTTCCCTCTCGCCTAATTTTTCTTGGCATCTGCTGTTAGTGAATGAGTGAGCCTACCACCAAATTACTAACAGCCGAAAACTCTTCACCTCCCCTTGCCGGAGCCCGCATCCGCGATGGCCTCACAGCCGCCGTCGGGCACCGGACTGATGTCGGCCGACCAAGCCGACCCCGAATCAGGCTCCGGGACACCTCCGGAGCCGAACCCCACCTCAAGAGCTAAGCGACGCCGCGACGCCGAGGCACAGCCGACCCGGCCCAGCCTAACGGGAAGCCAGCTTGATGCCACCACCGACGCCCCTACCTCGGCCGAGGGACCCGCAGCCTCTACCGCATCTGCTCCGAGCGGATCTGCCACAGGGTCCGTCTTGACAGCCCTTGCAGAAGAAGCTAGACAGTACGAGGCACGGAAAGACGTCTTTCTGACCATTGCACGGTCCGTCGACAGCGTTGTCGCCAGCTTTGACGGTTCTAGAAAGCAGATCGCGAAAGAAGCCACTGCCTATGTCATTCAAACCCTCAAGAGACTGATCAATCACGAGACAAGCCCAATAGCGGCCCGGAGTTGGGCGGCTGTCGTCGCACCGATGGCGGGCAACACCACTGCGGCGACCCGGAGCGGCCAGAGCTGCCAGAGCTCTGCCCGCCCGAAGGCCACACTCCCCGCCGAGGATCAGCCGCAGGCGCAGCCGAAGGAGGACCTCCGCATCTTTGCCCGCGTCCCGGAAGAAAGCTTAGCGGCCGCTCGGAAGATCGCACCGTTCGCCGTACGACAGATCGTCTGTAAGGCCGTTGGCCTGGGGCTAGCGGACCTTCCCCACGTCTACCATATCAGCACAGGTTACTCTCTGAAGCCGCGAAACAAGCAAATACAGGAAAGACTACTTGCAAGTAAGGCAAAGCTGGCGGAATGCCTCGGCGCCCACCAGGTCGAGACGCCTATCAAGTGGTACACTTACGTTGTGCCGCGATGCCCAACAAAACTACACAGCATTGGCGGGGACGTCCTGGACCCAGCCACACTCGTTGAAGATGAGGTCTTCGCACAGACAGGACAGAAGCCTGTCCTTGCTCGACCGTCCCGCCTTGGGCCCAACCCAGTCACGAACGAAATATCTTGGCTCATATCATTCACATCAGAGGTCACGCCCTTCAGGCTCTTCAACCAAAGCGGCAGATCTCTGCCCGTCAAGAAACGAAGGACGCTCATCCGACACGACCCCGGCTGCCAGGGCTACCACTCCAACCGGTTCTGCGGACGACGACCGATCTGCAGCAACTGCGGAAGACCTTCCGATTCACACGAAACGGGACCCTGCATGGCCAGGCCCCAATGTGCCAACTGCTGCGGCCCCTTCCAAGCCAGCCACACAGACTGCCCAGCGAGGCCCTCGGCCGTAAACGGCGTCGTCTCCCTTCCCGGTCGAAAGGAGCGGGCTCGGATCCGGAAGGCCGGCCAGAAAGCATCGGACACTCTGTACAAGGCTACTCGATCCGACAGTAGCCAGGAGGCGGCAGGCGTCCCTACCTCCACCAGCCAGAACCAGCAACCCGGCGCCAAGCGCGCGCGCATGAGAACGCCCTCCGCAAGCTCGATCGTTTGCCTCGGTGACGGAAGCACTGACAGCAGCAGCATGGATGAAGACGAGGCGGACGAAGGCGAGGGCGAAGACTCCCCCGACAACACCTCCATCGACCGTCCCATGCTACCCATGCCAAGCAGGAGCCAACGGGCAGCACAGAAGCCAAACTACAACGTCGCGAATGCCTACACCCACCTCGAACTCGACTCGGAGACGTAAGCCGAGAGCGGCGACCCCACGGATGCTACGCGTTGCGCAGGGCAACGTCGGAAAGATCTCCCCGGCGCACACGGCTTTCCTGCAGCTCTGCTGGGAGGCTCAGATAGATGTGGTCCTCGTCCAGGAACCCTGGACGGGCTGGAAGGACGGAAACGTGCAACTGAACACGCACCCGGGTTTCGACTCTTTCGTCCCGGTCGACTTCTGGGACAGCGAAGGAACCAGACCAAGAGTATTGACCTACACACGCAAAGGGATAGGGATGACGGTGGAGCAGCAGAGGCCTGTCCACACGAGAGACGTACTGTGGCTGGTGGTCGACAAAACGACGACTATCGTCAACGTGTACAGACAACCCCGCGACCCCCACAGCCGCACAACAGGGATACTGCTAGAACTCAAACCCCCGGAGCGAGCTTTGATCGCGGGTGACTTCAACGCGCATCACTACTCTTGGGAGCCCGGGACGAGGAACGGGAACCGGGGAGATGACATCGCAGGCTGGGCAGACGGCCACAATCTCTCTCTTATCAGCGAAGTTGGGGTGGCAACCCAGGATTGCGGACATGTCCTGGACCTGGCTTTCTCTAATATCCCTTTTGCGCACGCGCAGGTCAGCCCACAGTTACACCCGGGAGCTGACCACGAGGCCATCGTGGCCGTCATACCACTATTCAAACGCCCAGTGTCACAGGGAGAGGGCCACCCGCAGCCACGGCCACTGTCAGTGCCCGACTCGGCGCTGCCTCGGCTGAGAGACCTGATCGAAGGGGGGCTAGCTGCGATGCCCAATCTGGGGGATCAACCTACTCCGGCAGACCTGGACGGGCAGGCAAGTCACATCGTCGAGCTCTTCTCCCGAGCCATTGAGGCGGTCGGCAAGAAGAGAGGAAAACAGGGAAAAGGCGCGGCTTGGTGGACGGAGGAATGCGCAGAGGCCCACAGAACGTACCGTGCTGCCCGCAACCCACAAGCCTGGGAGACGGAGCAGAACGCAAATCCTTCTCCAATGGAAGAGCGGAAGGCATTCCTGAGCATTGTGAGGAAGGCTAAGCGAGCATACTGGGCCGGAAAGATCGATGGAGTCGCTTCAGACCGGGACCTCTATCAGGTCATGGGTTGGCGGAAGGCGAGCCCACTGACCAGAGCACCCCCATTGATTGTGGACAACCAGACGATCGAGGATACTAACGAAAAGGCCCAAGCGCTCCGGAAAGCCCTTCTCGACAGGTTTAGTGCGGAAGATGACGCACCGGGTGACCCGTTTGACGTACCCGTCGTCCCAAGGCGAGCGATTACTTGGCAGGACAATGTTAGCGGAGAAGAAGTGAAGACGGCCACCTTAACAAAGACAACGACCCCTGGTGTGGACGGGATCACCACGCGCCTCCTCCAGGCCTGCTGGGGCGTCATCTCGGAGCCGGTCAGGCAGCTATTCCAGTCCTGTATGCGGGCCGGCCACTTTCCTCTGCCTTTCCGCAGAGCTGAGGTGGTCATGATCCAGAAGGCCGGCAGGGATGCCTCCAAGCCCGGGTCCTGGCGTCCGATCGCGCTCCTCTCGTGCCTGGGCAAGGGACTCGAGAGACTGATAGCCAGAAGGATGGCGTCCCTGGCGATTGTCGAGCGCATCGTCAGTCCGCAACAGATCGGAGCCCTACAGGGCAGGTCAGCCGTCGATCTGACGACCTGCCTCGCCCACGATATCGAAACGGCCCTCCTAAAAGGGCTCACGGCGACACTTCTGACTATGGACGTAAAAGGGGCGTTCGACTCCGTCCTTCGGAACCGGCTCGTCATTAGACTGCGTCAGCAGGGATGGCCACACGGCTTGGTTAGACTCATCTTCAGCTTCTGCTGCATCCGCATCGCCAGAGTCCGACTGGAAGAAAGCACAACGGAATACTTTCCTCTGTCATGCGGGCTGCCGCAGGGGTCGCCTCTGTCTCCCATCGTCTTTCTGCTCTACATCGCGGAAATACTTGAAGACGACCCGGACGCGCGATTCGGGTACGCGGACGACATCGCCACTCTGGCCATAAGCCCCTCCCTGGAGAGCAACGTCGCAATACTCAACCGAAGCGCAGCCGGCATTCTCAGATGGGGTTCGGAGAACAAGGTCTCCTTTGACCCGAGCAAGTGCGAGGTCATCCACTTTACTAGGAAGCACGGCCAGCCAGCGGAGCTGCCAGAGGTCAGGGCGGGGGATTTGGTGGTCAAGGCCTCGACAAAACCTGTACGCTGGCTGGGTGTCTGGTTCGACAAGAGACTGTCCTTCCGGCACCACGTCGACACAAGAGTAGCTGCGGCAAAGAAGGCAGCTCAACACCTGAGGCAGCTTACAAACACAAAGAGAGGACTGCCAGCGGCCGCCGTGCGAAAAGCCGTCGTCTCCTGCGTACTGCCGATCGCGCTCTTTGGCGCCGAAACATGGTACGCAGGTATCACGAAGCCGGCTTCGAGACGCCAAGCGGAGACAGACACGAATCCGCCTCTCCAAGGAAGACCCGTCAACACAGGCCAGAAGGGGCTCGTGCAGAAGATCGACAGCGTCATTACAGCGGCGGCAAGGGCCGTTCTGCCTGTCTGGAGGACAACGCCAACCAGCAGCCTCCTCCGAGACGCCGGCTTACCGTCAGCCAAAGTCGCTCTAGAGGGCGTCCGCTTACGGGCCGCAGTCCGACTGCAGAGGATCGATCGCCGACACCCGCTAGTCGCGCGGCTCTCCCAGCAGGGACAGCAACAGACGAGACTACAACGGACGGCTGAACTTCTGCCAAGATGCGGAAGACCAGCGTTCCTCCAATCACAGTACCTGCCAAGCTCACAGGATCAGATAGTAGTTCAATGCAAAGAAGAGGCTGCGAAAGATTTCGAGCGCTGGCTAAAGACAGTACCGGAAAGCCATATGATCGTCTTCTCGGACGGCTCCAGGGCGACGAACGGAGCCGTGGGGTACGGCTTCGTCATCTACCGAGACTCCAAACGCATAGCGCAAGGGTGCGGCCGACTCGGACTGGCAGAAGTGTTCGACGCCGAGGTCGAAGGAGCGCGAGCCGGCCTCAGAAGGGCTCTGCTCACCAATCGCGGTCATCCAATCCACATATGTATCGACAACACCAGCGTTATACAAGGTATCCGCGGCAAGGCGCCGGACTCGTCACAAGAGGCGTTCCTCGAAATCCAAGAAGCAGCCAGGATTTTTGATGTACGGACGCACTGGTCTCCGGGACACCAGGGCATCCAAGGAAACGAGGCCGCGGACCGGCTGGCCAAAGAAGGAACGACACTGCCGGCGCGGATGGGTCAAATGGCAACACTAGCGGGTATCAAGCGGCTTGCAAGGGAAAAACTACAGGGCCACCACAGGAGATGGTGGTATAAAGAGCGAAGGCCGCGGTACGCGGACTTGGGGCTTGAGGCAGCTCTATCCAGCCCTCCTGAACTGGCCTTGCCGCGGGCTACGCTACATCACCTGCTGGCGGCACGATCGGGTCACGGGGACTTCGAGCAATATCACCGACGTTTCAACCACGACGACGCTCTAATGATGTGCTCTTGTGGAGAGGCAAAAGACGTGGACCACCTGGTCTACTGTCGACTAACGCTGGCGAGGAGGCAACGGTGGCCGACCCTCCACTCTCGCAGTATGCCCGAGCCCATAGGCCCTATGGGATCTCTCGAGGCCTACTTCAAGAGATTAATCACCGACCCACGAGGCTTCGAGGCCTTTCTCCGCGTGACGGACTTCTTCCAGAAGATCTGTCTGCGGTAGCAGCATCCACACCTACGTAGATGTGAGTGCGGACTACAAAGAACCTCCCGATTCCAAGGGACGATTTGGGAAAGAATGAAACTGGGGCACCAGCGGGAACCGGGGACAGACAGAACGCGTAGTGGCCACAAGGCATGATTTGGAGGACGATGTAAAGAGACGACGTACTGTAGAGTAGGTAGCCTTGGCTCACGGCCCTCCACGCCATATACCCTTCGGGAGGTCTGCGGTAAGGGCTCTAGCCCGGCCGCCACGGCGTTAAATACAACAACAACAACAACTACGTACCTTCCATCCGCTGCGGTGGGCTTTAACTGGCTAGTCCCTTTTCCCCACTCATGTTGGTATCATGTTAGTATGTTGACTATTCTGTCACTGTTATGGAAAGGCTGGTTATGACAGCCATCGAACTCGTTTCGTCCCGAAATAACCGCTTTCTTCTTGACGTTTCGAAACCAGCCTTTGTTGTTGCTGTCGCCCCACCTTAACTCCGATACGTTATTTTGATACTATTTGGGCCATCATAACGCCTAGATCCTGAGGCGCTAAGGGCAAAGGGAGTAACAATGAAAATATACGAACGCCACCATGTGAACACCCAACTTGAAATGGCTAGTTGTCCGATGCTCATATACCAGCTTCCCGAACTACGACTTCGACGTTGTTATTCACTCTTCTTTTCATTGCAGTCTGAACTCAATATACGACCTGCAACCATGCGGAAGATGCTCAAACGAGATGCTACTGAGCTTGGGAGCCCCGACGAGGTGCCCATCCCGAAAAGGCAGAGGGCATCTCTCTCCAGAGCACATGAGCTACATGATGAGTACTCTCAAGATATCCTCAAATATATGGAGCTCATAGAGGCATGTACTTCAGAAGTTCAGATAACCTGACACTCAGGTCGCTTCCGCTAAACTGACAAACACCAAGGCCGAGACGATGCCCGACATGAGCCGCTTCCCGGATGGAATAAGAGAAATGAGACCGGACATCGTCCGACATCTCCAAGTGGCTCATGCCATGCTTGGTCTACTTCCAGAAACGCTTTTTTTATCGGTCAACATTGTCGACAGGTTCTGCTGTGAACAAAGCTTCTGTGGGGAGGCATACTACAAGTTGATCGGCTGTACTGCCTTATGGATTGCGTCCAAGTACATTGAAGCAAAGGGGCGGGTGCCATCTCTCAAGCGGCTTATGCAATTCATTCCCGAAGGGTATTATCGAGACGAGAGATTCTTCATCCGGTTAGAAATGGATATTCTTACTGAACTGAAGTGACGCGTCAACCACCCAACCCCATATTTCTTCATTCAGCTTCTTGAGATAGGCGATGATAACGAAGCTGCAGTGAGGGAGTTGGTAGTCGATATTTGCGAAGCCAACTTAGATAATAATGAACTGATAGATGTTAGGTCATCTGTTCTGGCTCGCCAATGTTTGCTATTTGCCGGCGATGGCTTGCTCAGCGTCGATGGTCAGTTTGGCCGCTGATTTGGTCGGCTGACTCCTGAGAATAGCAGCAAGTAGTCTCCGATTAGATGAAGTTCTGTCTGAGTCGGGAGCTGCTGGTTAGCTCTAATCTTGATTCAGCCATACTTTAGAGGCAATGAGAATATCAACTGTGTCAAGGCGTTGTTGGGAAAAACACATCTTGCATCATTAGTGCTGAGCCATGTGTGACACGGCCATTGATTCCAAGTCCTCAAACGTTAGCTCTAGGCATCATCTATGAGGAATCAGCCGTTCTTGTGACTAAAACCTCAATCTACTCCACAGCTTGTCCGCTTGCCGTGATGAAACAAGGAAAGTCGGGAGGTATGGCGGTGTCGAAAATGGATGAGAAGGATACCGATTCAGTTAGCTCGGTCGACCACATCGATTAATCTGGTCGGCGTATGTGGAGTCCTGCGCTAAGTTGCCGACCCATGATCAGTCCTTGCTGTGATTGCGAGCAAATGCGCCACTTGATTCGCGACGATCAGGGATAGAGTAGGGTCACCTGCCTAAGTCAAGCTCTCCGTCAAGTAGAATACATTGCGTAAGGCTGTGCTGGAGTATCGGTTCGTCAACTTTGGCAAGGTGGGCTTCGGCGTTATGATCGCCCCTGGCTACTAACATCGTTGGTTGTTAATCAGAGTTTGAGACGTATTGGCACGATCAGCTGAACCTTTCCGTCAATCATTGCCTTCTGCCTTGAAAGCTAATGATCTGCTTCGACTGTCCCGTGGACCATGAGTGCTCGCCCTGTTCTCGTAGCTAAAGTCATTCGTCCAGCCAACAGTCGACACACTCAGGAGTTTACCTATGAGAGGCGAAAAGGCAACTTAAACTTTCAACCGCTGACTATGAGATGGACTTCAATCAGATTAGGGCGAAGAGAAATCACCACTTTACCCACGAAAAGGTATTTACATTGCTACAACATGGATAAACTCACGACGGCCTGGCCGTCTAAGGTTTTATTAATGCGTCCAAAGTCAAGTAAGACTCCTCATAGGTGCGAGGCATGTCCACACATCATGAATTGTATGGGTTACGTGAAATACTTATGTCGGCCATCGCAAAACGCACGGGATGAGGTCGTTATATAACAGGTCCAAAAGTACCGTTGGTTCTAGCCTTCAGTAGTTAGTTACCAATAATGTCACGCCGCTGTTCGCGATCCTTCCATGAGGTAAAAGGGAATAATCAGATCAATCATCGAATGTTATGTTACGTTGGCTCTGACTAACAAGCTACGACAACAGAACACGCTTGAGCCTCTGCAAATTGACGTCTTGAGAATTGTTCTCAAGGCATACTAGTCGGTCTAGACCCAAGATAAATGTCGGCAACGTACAGTAGTGACCGTAATCTGATCTAAGATGAACTATAGCGCAGAGTCTGTGCTGGCATCTCTGAAAAGGCGGCTGAGCGGTGCGAGAGGCTCTTATGTTGTCCAGCTTTGACACACTAGTAACCAGGCTAAATGAACTTCGTTAGCACTTCAGGTGCTCTGTTGCTGTGCCCAAGATCACTCCTGTCTCGTTCTAGGCCCCTCTGAGGCTGTGCCGTACCCTTCGCTGTAAACAAGATCTTCGTCGGTACCCTTGTTTGTTTTCGCCCAACGGCTTATGCTCCTGAAAGTGGTGAGTTTCCCAACGTTCCTCCGTGTGATCTGAAACACAGATATGATGTAAATCTCATCTCTGAAACGGAGTGGCAATGGTTTCGGACTATGGTGCCGTCGAGCCACCTCCTAGAATTTCATGCCATTCCATACGAAGCCTGGGTGGTATATCAATGGGCTATCGGCTTCCATTGAACAATCATCAGAAGCCCCTACTAGCTCACGGCAAATATGACCCGTGTTTCACCCGAGATGAGAAAGAAAAGAAATCGAGATGCTCAGGCCAAGCACCGGAAGAAGAAGCAAGAAGAAACTAGACGCCTGCAATCAGAAGTGGAACATCTCCGCAGAGAACTGCAGGAAGTCCGTGACGCCATGGCAAGCAACGACATGCAGCGATTGAAATATATTGTGCTAGGTGAGACGCGGCCTTCGACGCCTCAGCCCGATGCGTCAAGCACAGTCGAGTTAGGCACGCCAATCACTGACGGAGGGTACGCCGAGTCGTCCGATCCTTCCCCAATATCATCTATCATTCCCTACTCGAACTACAGCACCCTCGACTGTACGCTCCCCCTAGCAGAGTATAACCCTTACCCCGCTACTACATTTCAAACATCATTTACAGAAGGCTACAACCAAATCCTGCCATGGAACTCGCTTCCCTCGGTTCCGGCATTGCCCAGCATTGGGTTTTCGGAGTTATTCGACATGCCATCGTGGCTCGACCCGCAGCTGATGATTTCATGATAACAATATATACATCCTAGAGAGCAAAACACTTCTCATCTACTTAATAGATCTTTTTATACAACGAATAATTAGCTTCTGCGAATTGAAGAGGGTCCCTTGCGTATCCTTATGAAGACTCCGTCCTATGGCTACTATTTTGCATCAATGACGTTGTGCAACGCTGAATTCAAATCAGCCACATTCGATGTCAGATTCTGCTTTGAGTAGTGATGAGAAAATACGACTGCGGATAGAACCCCTACTTTGATCACCCACTTGTGACCGGGATCTGTGTACACACCCCCTTACAGTCTGCTACCTCAGCAGCCGTGGCCATTGGAAGATGGCTGGAGGTCATATCATTTGGTAATACGATCGCTCCTTCACATGCTGACTCTAGCTAGGAAACAACAGCAGATTGTCTGTTAGGCGGGCTAATGAAACAAGACGACTATGATGTACAAAAAAAAATTTTCGTTATGTAACTTCAAACGATGTCACCACGTTGTGGCGGAATGAAAACGAGATATGGACTGATGATTTTGCTTATGACTCATGCACACCGTTCATTCTCTTCGCCAGTTACACGTGAGCGAGGCTATGCCGTGCCAGCAATAATCAAAGAGCGTCCTAAGTGAAAGAGATGTTATTGAACTTCATTATATACCAGTATCCGGTTAAAGGGTTCTTTTCTCACAGGGCTGGAAGATTCATTGAAGTGGTGTTCGCAGCTATGATATAAAGTAGTCCCGCAAGCTGTACATTTGACATTGGAAATTCTATTTGTGGCAGTCTTGATAAATATCCTATATCATCTTCCAGCTGTGGAATTGTCGCGGTAGACTTCGGTTCATATTGGTCATGTCTCGACCAACAGTCATAATCATGTGTACTCACGCAACCTTGGAAGATATCCTCAACGACGAGCTTGCATCGAAGCAGCTGCTACAAGAAGCACTGCAGGCAGCTGAAGAGAAACACACTATGTGGAAGAGGTTATGCCTGTCTAGTGCATCATTGAACATTGGGATCATGGAACTATTGCAGCGGATCTGAATGGCCAAATACCATAGTACCTAGCCTAATGTACGTTGTTGGGTGTGATTATGTTCGCCTCGAGGCCTTGCCAAGCTTGCCATGAAACACTCGGAGTCCAGTATATAAGCAGACGAAAGTCGGCTACATTCTGTAACAAAAATGCGGTTCCTCACCATATTCAATGCCATCATTTGGCTAGGCTTCCTTTGGTTCTTCGTGTTCCACGTTAATCCCGGCCCACAAACTGGACGAAGCTGTTCTATGCTGAATGTGCCCGGCCCCACATCGACTGATCTCATCTCTGCCCATGTTTGTTAACAGTCGTGTAGGTCACCACAGCAGAAATAGTTCGGAATATTACCGAAACATTCGATGTCCTTCACGAAGACCAAGCGCAAAGGCGCATAACCATCCCTAGCGAAATCGTAGACCCGGCGAAGTCTGTCGTTTCGAAAGCAGAAGAGCATATCGCAACGGCCGTGGCCTCTGCAAAGCAAGCGGTCAGCACACCACTCGCCGACATTTGGCAGAACATCAGGTCCAAGTTCTTTGACGACCTGACTCGGTGGGAAGACATGGTGCCTGTCTACTTCTGTCTTCAAACGCGGGGCGTGTGGCAGCTGGGCTACCCGAACTCGACCAGCAAAATCGTCTCATCTAAGGACTTTGACGTCTTAGATGCCCTCCAAATCACGGTACTCGACAGCCTGTTCAGCATGGCACGCCAGATTGTCCCCGGGCTGCCGGACGGCTTAGTCAGTGACTTGGCGGAAGTTGACTTCAATGTGCTCGATACGATGGCTGCCGCCGCATACTGGTCGCTTGTGGTTCTCCTGGTAGGCACGTTTCTGATGGTTCTGACTTCTGTTCTATCAGGATGGACCAAGTGGCTCCTCTGCCTACCTCTGATGGTGGTAGGTTTACTTAAGGCTGTCCTCCTAGTCACGGCTCTGGCTTGTATGGGTGTCTGTCTAGCCGTAAATTTCGCTTCTAGCGGCATTCTCTCTGTTCTAGATGTTGGCGTCGCGACAGAAACTGGGACGACGACATGGCTCTCAGTGGCGGCTGTCGTTTGGCTTTTGGTATGGTTCCTTCTCGATTGTATCTGCTTGTGATAAGTCAGCATTTCTGCATGGGAAGCTAGAGGTGGTCTTGTAAATATCAGCCGTGTGGTTTTCCCTTCACCACGGCAACGGTCTAGCTTCTCCTTGTTTCTCAACTTTTGCCATGTCTCCAATTTGAAACCCCGAGATGAGTTTCAGTTGTGTCGTCATTCCTCGGATAGACAAAACGGTGAATTCATACCAGCCCCGCCGTACACAGGGTATGATTTTCTCCCATTACAGGGCTGAAATTTGAGTCTGAGGTTTTATCAAAGTCTGAAGCAAAGCCATGTAAAGAATAGAGAATGCTCCATTTGAGGAGTGCATATGTTGATTTGATTACCTGATAGAATACACGATGACTGTGCATCTTTACTATGGCATCCAAAACAGTCACTGCAGTATACGACGATCAATTTTGGGATCGTGCAAGCTTTCAGCGGCATGTTATACTGTCACGACGTTTAACAGGGCTTGAGGCATTTGAGACTGGCCGTTGAGGTCAATCGTGAAGATAACAACATAATAGGACAGCAAAGATAACCATGAGGATGTGGCTCAGGCGTGATATTTACTGGCCCATATCATATCGCTCACCAATTCCGCAGCTGATCGGGACCGTGGCCAGTTTACGACCGAATTTTGCGGCACTCTGCTTCCTTGTCGGCGCCCTACACAACAGCATAAGCGATACGAACGGATAGGCAAGCTAGTCTTTTTAGGAGATGCCATTCCGATTTCTGCGACAACAAGAAGCAACTTCTGACAGCTGAATAAAGACAACACTCATCAATATTCTCATCAAAATCACCACCTGCGAACATTAATAGTTTAGTTACCACCCCTTTTTATTCGGCTTTAGCAGAGCGTAAGCAAGAGAAGTTCCTTTGCGCAGCCGCGACTCATATTTATCCACAACAGATCAGAGCAGCGTCGATCTCCGCGGCTGCGCCGCGTTAGGTTTGATAGAACAACGGAACCGGCGACATGGACCAGCATGTCAAAACACAGGTAGATGTAGTGGTAGCGCTTCTTAACCATAACAATGTTTTCATTTCAGCTGTGTTGGAATCCCGTGACAGAAAAATGGCGGGAGCACTTTCGCTATTGTGTCATTTGAAGCAATAACTCAAGTACCGTTAGCATGCTATCATAACGTGGTAAACACTTCACGTTCAAGCTACTGAGTAAAGTTTTGTACCATGAGGCTACTGCGTAGACACCATATAAACAGGAAGTTTGATTACGTCCGCTCCAATTTACATTCTCACTACGTTAATCTCAGAATATACAACCATGGCCAGCCATGATTCACAAGATTCACAAGGCTACCACATCACAGATTGCCTACAGGCGGCTTTGACATCGCTCGAAGAGGAGGTAACGAGAGTGAATTCGAGCTCCGTGCAGTTAGAAAGCGAGATACAAAGACTACAGAGCGAGCGACACAAGCAAAACATACTCATATCATTGCAATCCCAATACATTGCCCTTCTGGAGGAGAGACTCAATTTCGAAGAATCCACGGGGCCTCTCATTGAGGTCAGCAGTATCAGAAACGGGACCAATGATGATGACAAGATTCGCACTTAGAACAGCACAATAGAAACATTGATCCTCCTTGAACCCTTTCTTAGCCCCAAGTTTTCAATGCTTCCTGACATTAAATCTCCCTCAGCAACATCCTCAGGCTCGTCGACGGATGTGATCTCGGCATTCTCACCATTTCTAAGGAAAAGATTCACGAGGATACTGGGCTCAATGCCGTCCGACCCGTCGTTTAGAATTGTCTCTGTCAACTTAGGTCTCGGCAATCTGGTTCCTAGGCTTCTCAGCCTTGCTCTTCCCCAACTCTGCCTCTGCTATTGCCACCGCTTCGTCGGCCTTCTTGGCTCCCACATCAGCCTTCTGTACCTTCGTATTGGCTTTGACCGTCATCCCTTCACTTACGTGTTCCTTACATGCATGCATCGTACTTTTTCTTGTGCTTCTGGTTCTGCTGCTAGGCGCCTTCGCGGTTCTCTTGGCATCTCACCCAGAGGTCAAGTCGTTGTGCTTTCCGGGACTTGGAGGCTGTGTCGTACTGTTTGATCTTTCGCAGCCTGGCAACCTCCCGAAAATTATCAGCAGTGATATGATTGCTTTTTCAAGGCTTGTGCAGCACCAATGTGCGTGGCGGGATGTATGCACAACTACAAAATTGTGAAGTGGTAGATGTACGTACACTACTGGACACGTTCAGACATGCCCTCCCGCACCCCTGTCAGGTGAAATTGGCGACTACATGTGCTTCATCCTCTTTCCATTGTTTACAACTCTACCCCTTTCATCAGAGCCACTGTGTCTCCGCCGAGTTAGCACGGGGAGTATCTTGTATCCAGTTACATTCTCTGTTTCCATGTCAATAAACCGTCGATCGGGCCCGTATTGTCATGTCAACAACACCGCCGAACAAGATTCGGAGGCGCCTGGGCTCGCCCTACAGACTTTACGAGTTCGGAAAACAGGGACGGCACGTTGCAGACAACACGTCTCTTCGGCGATTGTCAGAGCATTACAAATTGTGGCCGAAATCCAACTGACATAATTGCAGGAGAACAGGTATCAAACTACACGATAATGGCGAACGCGACGAGCATGGAATGCAGCCAATGGGTGGCCTTTTCTCTTCGCCAGAGACTAACGACGAACTTCTCGATGACGACACAAAGCCGGATGAGCAGGACATCAGAGTGCCAGGTAAGTTATCTTGACTACTCGGGATGTTGAGCTCCTGCTAATGTGGTGTATCTGGAAGGCCCCGAATCTGGAATACCAAACCAAGACTCCCGGTCTCTAAGCTCTTCTGATCTCACGCGCGACGTGTTTTCCATTGGGGACACGTCCATGCTCGTGTCGACGCCTGGTCCATTACCAAAGAACCGAAACACAATACAGCAGACTACCGAAGAACGACGAATGTTGTCATCAGCAAACACAAAATCAAAACGGCCGATTGACAGGCGTAGCATCAGACTACAGCACCAGGGCAAAGGTCCAGATTCAAACCAAAATGGCTCGCTCGGTGACAATAAATCAAGCAAGGTGGGCCGCCGTCCGACCTCGCAGGCTTGTAGTCAGTGATGACACCCCTTCTTTCTCGTTTGTTTGGAGAACTCTAGACTTTACGTACTTGATACTTATGGGTGACCCATCAAGAGTACTGTCGTCGACGAAGAGCACGCTGCAAAGTAATAATGCTTGCAGACGGCGAGGATCAATGCGTGAACTGTATGAGGTTGAAGAGAGAGTGATTTCTTTCCCATCGGCAAGTCGGCGCAGCTACAGACAATCGTTCCGCCCTCTGAAGCACCATCACGGGCTTCTTCTGAACCGAAGACCGCTTCCCCTTCATCTTGCTCTGTCTTGGCTGTATAGCAGTCTTTTTACGTGCCCCAACACCATCTGGACGACGCCTGTCTCATGTATCCAAGAAATGGTATGGCATCACCTCCGAGATAGCCGTATACACTTCGAACTTCCGACCCTCTGCCACAAGCATTGTCGCTCGTCCGAGCTCGTCCAATTTGCTCACAAGCAAGACTTATTGCTCTTCGGTGGTGTCTCGTCTTCATGGAACCAGACATTGTCTTCCCATACGCTGTTCCGGTTATACTCTTCGAACTTCTCTGTCTGTCAGTAGTAGCAACGTGGGTCTCACTACTGCTGACGACAAAAAATACTCGTCGTCTGCTCACGGCAGTAACATGGTCTCCTCAAGCGACAGGTTGCTGGCGCCTCAGAACGCCAAAATACCGCAGCAGGGTCAACGAAATGGGGCAATGTAGTCCAATATCTCGAGTTTCATAATTCCAACACGAGTTTCCGCAAAAGTCTCTAGTCTCGGCTCTCAAAGCGTTTCGCTTTTGATGACCCTAATGGAGGTAACGATCGCGGCCACATCAGGACAATGTCATTCTATCTTTCGAGGCGCCCTGACAATAGTGAGGAAAGAGATATTTTAATAAGCGGTCTACAATCACAGTTCGCATCGTGTTCATCCTTATCCGCCTTTTTCTTAACCGGCAACATCCTAGCCAGAATGCCATATGGCTTTGCTAGGGGCCAGAAGCATTTTGTGGCGAAGTCGCTGTCATATCGCGCTCCTTGTTCTGAACCTTTCGACCATATGGGCCAGGATTCTCTGCTATTTCCACTTGACCCTTCGACGTTCCGATCTCCCTAGACGATCAACCGCCCCTTAGCGTCGAAAGGACGAGACTCTCCCATTCCAGCTTGCACAAGACCTCCCGGTATCCGCCCACGTTGGCAGCAGATTCCAGAGTTACCGACTCATCCTCGACACAGGCGTCGGCGCCCGCCCTCGATCGCTGGCTGATGGCTTACAGTGTGCTGACGCTCGTCGAAGCATGCGGTGACGGGACGTGCCCGTGACTGCTTGTCTGAGCAGTCGTTCATACGCGTTGGAGAGCCAACTCTGGTTCTTGTAAGCTTTATAGCATGCGCTGCGAACAAGAAGATTCTTCGCCAGTTGTCAAAAGATAAGCAGCAAAATATCAAGCCATTATGCCATTTCTCCGGAAGACTTTGATTCTACGCTGAAAACTCAGAACTTCTATGGCTACGGTCAACAGTGGCGAGAGGCGCGCCGCCGAATGCAGCACTACTTCCCTGACGCGCTGCCATCGGTCGCCAAAAGCATCTTTCGAGGGCAGAGTCGACAGATGTCGATACGCTATTTGGCGCGGCTGTACCATCTACCGTATCCGATCCTCCTGAGGCACATGCTACTTGCGCCAGCGGATGAGTATTTGCATTGATAGTAATGCCCTCGTTCACATAGACTGATCACTTATCTCCGCAACTTTCACTTCGTGCACTTCAGAGTTCCCCGATTCCCTTGTTTATTATCCACGAGAGACAATTCATCGACAATTTGCTTGAAGCCGCAGATAAGCAAAGTACAAAAGGGACTCGCCTCAATGAATATGGGCCGATCTATCTGGCTTGGTCTGAGCTTTTCGGGAGTCTGGGCAATGTTGGCACCCGCGACGATCAGGCTACCGGCTTTCACTGCATTTAAGACCCAACCAAAGGCTTTAAAGCTCGATAAACAGATTAGATTAATTATCAGAAAAGCGTGTCCGCATCGCGCTCGCTTTTGAGGGAACACATCGCTATTTTTTCGAGTGGATCCCGAGCCTGGACTATGCACCACCACCGATCCTTTGATCAACCTGCGTTTCCTCACAGTTTGTGCACATGATCTTCGAAAGTGGGTAGCCGAAGAGAACCACGATTTGACCCTCACCTGTATGCTATGATCAATGCCGCCGTGCCCAAATCAGCCGTCGGCGAAGGACTTTTGATCATGCCGCGAGCTCCCGCGGAGAAATATTGAACGCCCTGCAGGCGAGGACGGCCGATAGTGTGCTGGTGCCTCACAAGTCTCTTCACACAGGAAAAAATGCCTGGTTGGCCCTCAATAAACCTGCTCACGTGCTGGTTCCCGAAAACAGGAAGTTCTAAGGACTCATCAGTTATGGAATTGTTTTGCCGAGTTTTTTGTGTCAGCAACGACTGTATACATGTTGCATTTGAAGTTGACCGACGAGGCTTTCACAAGCTTTGATACACCGGTGCTTCCTCAGAAACAAAATGATTGCCTGCCCACTCGCTGGATTACGACGAGATACTACTCAGGTCTGCGAACTTGCCCGAGTTTGATTAAAAATACCATTTCTTCGATATTGATTGTCATACCTGTTTGCCCGAGCGTCCAAGGGGACTTACAGCAAAAACGTTCTCCCATCTCCCGCTGGCAGCCTGTCCGTCCCAGTCGCCGCCGCTGTACAAGGGTGAACGTAGTTTGCCTGTGCAATGTTCATCAACGAAGCGGCAAACCTTTTGCATGTCGGCAACAGTGTAATCGTCCATAAACCATAGCATTGTGCGGCCATCAACTGTAGTTCTAAGATTCTGGGCGTCAATCGATGTGGCAGGCTCAACAGAGGCTTCTCGCGTGCTATTCCGCGGGGACAAAGGTCGAAGTGCTGGTGAGGGAGACGCCCCGGCATTTTCGGTATCATGCGTCGGGAAACTTAACCGTCTCGTGGTTGAAACGGCCGATCTAGGGGTTGGCTGTGGCTGGATGTCGCCATTGGGGGCCTGCGATTGTCTCCGTTTAGATACTGACAATCCGGGCAAGGGATGTGGTGTGCCTGGTGTCGAACCATGTCTGGATGCTACGCTCATAGTTAGTGAGGCGCGGAGGCGATTGCGATTCAAGACGACTTACAGCGTCGGTACTTTTTGATTGGGGACTTGGCCGGCTCGGCAACACTGTCCCCAATCCTCTTCGCTGGACGTCTTGCGATCGTAAGCGCAGCGGCTTGAGACCTGATCTCTTCTGCTTGGTTCTTGACCTCGCTGTATGCCTCCATTCGCGCCATGGATCCGAACAGCGCTGCATTTACTCCACCATCATTTACATTGCAACAGTAGTCTATCAACACATCAGGCGCATCGGCGCGAATCTTCGCGGCTGGCTCCCACGAGACGTCCTCTCCCTCGTCGGTATATCCAAGCCATTACACGAGCACTTGCCATTACCCCCGAACACGACGGTGTCGAAGCAATCGAAAAGGGTGGTAAAGTTCTCCGATTCCTAGAACGTCTTGACGCGTCTTGCCCTCAAAGCTGGTCCAGTAGTTGTATAACAAAGTCAGTCGATGCTCCTGGATATCCCATTCAGCTACATCTGAGCGAAGGCCTTTGGCGAGGACAGTAAGGGTCACGAGTGTGGTATGGGGATCGAGGGTATGAGCAACAATTTGATCGATGGCGTCATAGCAAAAGTCTGCTGCAGATTCTGGGTGTTAACGAGGGCGCACAAAACGGGATTTGGAGCATACAGAGAAAGAACCATGAAGCATTCAGAAGAGTATCGTGCGTTTTGTAGGTTTCGCACCTGGCTGGGCAAGTCCAACAGAGGCTCTTTCTCGAACCATGAATAGAGCTGGAAAGTGGCAAGTTTACTATAGCGGGAGGAACAAGCAAACAACAACAAAGTCGACATCAAGCAGCAGCGCGATGCTGTGGGAAAGTTGCACTTAAATCGTCAGTGAGCTGATGGCGTGTAGACGCGTCCGTGTTAGGCGGTACCTAAGCGACGTACATCCGCGTTTATTCTGGACCGGGCTCGGAAGTCACCCCCTTTGATTCGCGCCCGACTGCTCCGGCGGGGCCGACCTACCGATTAATGCTGCTCATATCAAGATTCGCTTCAACATGCCCTGTTCAATGAGTCCCCGTCAAAGTAGGAAGCCCATGTGTGTGATCGATTTCATATGTTGATCCTGGCGTCGACCGGCGTCATGTCCCCTCGTGCTTTTAGTGTGGCGGTGTAGAGGAGACTCCCATGGACGGGTCGCAATAGCTGCTGGCAAGACGGATGGTTAGCCCGCGGTAGTTAGAATGATGCTGACTCCTAACGAATCCATGAAAACCTCTTCAACCAACACCTGACGCCGTTGCTGTGCTGCGCAAGTACGATCTGTGCATTGCACAGCCCTCCCGATAGTCACGTCAGCACTTCAAATTATTCAACCAACTGGTGTTGTCTCAACGGTATCGCAATCTCATTTGTTCGTGTCTATCTACACAAGTCACTGGTTATTAGTAGCTGACAACCGATTCGCCCAGGCGGAAACGTGTCCGCGTGTCGGAAGCGCGGCAGCAAGTTCATCGCCAAAGATCTGCCCTCTTTTCTTGGGTTTTGGGCCAGTACTTCATTTCAAGGCCGCCAGCATTTGTTTTTGCTCCCAAGTTGTTGAGATGCTTGACGACCCCTTGTTGATCTCTAGCAAGTACCCATTGATGTACTGCCTGATGATGCCCCCATCCGCAGCCCGCAATGTCGGCATTCAGACTGTAATGGCTTACCAGTTGGTCGCATCCTCGCACGGGAGATTGCATGCCAGCTGACGGCCAGTCTGCTGCATCTGCTGTTCTCGTGTAGAGCGTCAGTTGCTGTCTGAGTGCAACGGATGGTGGAGAAGGTAGATCGCGGGAAGCCACATCCTTTGGGAAAGATTTGACCCGACACCTTGCCGTCTCGTCGGCATTCGCCGGATCAAGAAGACTCGCATGGCAAGTCGATGGGGATGCCAGTCGTGGGTACGGCAAGCCTAGTTGATGAAGTAAGTGCTCGCCGAGGACATAGACTGATGTCAAGTTGGGCAAGTCGTTAGCCATGAGAGACTCTGCCAGACACCTGTAGTGGCTGGCTATTGTACAAGACCCAAACCTTCTCGGGTCAGCGGTAGTGATTTCGAAACGGAGCTTTCGCAAAGAGGTTGACGCGAGTCGTTGGGCGATCGCTCCGTCCCTCAATGGCCTGGAGACTGTAGCTTCGACGGCGAATGTCCGTAGGTTTGGAGCTGCCGAGAGTGCATCCGCCAGGGACTCAGTCGTCACCCCCGTGCCAAGCAGAGCCAAGACGGTAATCATGTTACTGGTGTCGGTCCGGCACAGGTACTCAAGCAGACCGCGTCCGGTGACGGCCGGGGTGCTCCGCAAAACCAACTCTTCTAAGCACGGGAACGGAGGTGACGCGTCGATATGGCCGAGACTGACATCTGAGAAAGACCTCACTCCTTCGATCTTCAGCGCGCGAAGGTTTCCCAATGCTCCTAGTGCATGTCGCAGAACGCAGGTGGCCATCTCTATCTTGATCAACTCCAGCACCTCCAAGTTTCGCCACGTGTCAGCATTGGCCATCCCCGTCAAGGCCGTCTCTGCGCCTCCATAGTATGTCATCTTTCGGAGGTCTCGACACCTGGCTTCGATGGCCAGTCGAAGGGTGCTATAGCGAGACTGATCGGCGAATAACCCCGACGGGAGGTCCACATAGCGAATGCTTGGGAGCATGTGGACGATGCGAAAGAGGTCTGGCCCGGCCGCTTCTCGGAGCATATGAGGCAGCTTGAGGTATTTGACTAATGTGCTTAGGCGCGGGCCGTTGTTGCACAGCGTTCGGCGAAGTAGTCCGAGGCGAGCCGTGAGGACATCATCCGGGTCGGCGTTGCTTCTCAAGAAGCCCCTGTGCTTGCGCTGCTCCGAAAGATGAGCCTCAAGCGGACAATAATGAACGGCATCGATGCGAATGCTCTGGTAGCTGCAGCGAGCGAGCAACGCCCATATGCGTCAGTCAGAGGCTGGTTCAGCGCCTCCGCTAGCTTTCGCAAAGATTTGCAAAGTCACTTACAGTATGCCCGTTGCCAGATTATACCATCTCTTGCAGACACGCGCGCAGTGGGCCAGATCCCTCAGATCGCATAACGCGCAAGCGCCTAAAGCAGCGCTAGTCTCGCACGTCTCGTATGTGTCATCTTGAGCATGCGGGCAGACACAACGCATGACGCTTTGGAGGATGGCATCTGGCAGGTCACAAAAAGTTCGGATGCAGAGGTCGGGTAGGTCGGGTTGGTTGGCTCTAGGGAAAAATAGTTGGTGCTTTGCCTGGAAAGCTGTATTGGACCTGAATCTCCGAAATAGGCGCATCTCGGGTTGAACGTGGACGGTGGTGTCAGTAGCTGAGGGAACTGCCAACCCGACTCCATAGTCAGCGATGGGTTGAAAGAGCACATCTACCTGCGGTCCCTTCTTATTGGGAACAGCAGCAGCAGCATCGGCTCCCTTCAGTTACAATAACAAAGGACTCATAAATCGACACGATATGTTATCTTGTGAACACGATGAGTTATGAGAACATTGACTGTTACTTCCTCTACAGCGTTCAGCATATGTTGAGGAGGTTACGGGGGGCGGGCTGTCACTTTTCTCACTTTCAACATTATCAGCATCTTCAGTATCTCAGTGAGTACAGCGTAACCAGCATCTGGCTTAATTACTATTCTCTCTGCTCGTTGATATGTACGTAAAGATACCCTTTATGCGCTTGCCGATATTTGCTACTTTTTCTGAGATAACCAGGCGCGTACTAACCTTGGAAAAAGGCGCATACTTCTCCTCGGCGGTCTCTAGGTAACAGTCAAGCCATGATCTAGGTTCGCGTTCCAAGCCAGGAGAGTCGGTCATTCCCCTGTTCACGTCGGCATTGGGGAGCATTTCGGCCCACCCTTCGATGGACCGAAACCCTACTATGGCATCTCCCCGATCCAACGTGGACGCTTTGGGACACACGCGGCTTGCCTGTCTTGATGCCGCCCTGGTCAACGACTTCACGGAGAAGGTGTAGTGCACCACAGGTTCATGAGCACACAAATAGGACTCTACCGACAACGGTTCTCTCCAATACCCAACCTTATGCTAATGCGGTATGTCCTTAACAACAAAGCACATCGATAGCCGGCTAGGGAACGCAGATATAGCGCGATTGAGTGTATTCACATAGCCTCTCAGGTAATTACTATGTGCATTCCGTACTTGCTGCCGCCGCCCGCGTGTAGCTAACGAACTGATACGACGGCTAAGTCAGGTTTGAGGCGGTAACAATCAGCAACAGCCCCTCATGGACAGGGCCTCCACTGGCTGGAGCTGCGGGTGACGGCGTGCAACGGACTGCCTTACGAGTAGGACTTTCGCGTCACCACTTGACTCAGTCATGCTATGGGACACGCATATTTCAAGAATTTTGGAACATAACATAACAGGGACTAACTTCTGACGTTGAGCATCTCGCCCTTTGCATTGATGGGCTGTCCAAGACCATCCCGCCCAAGCTTGCGAAGAACAAAAGTGGAACGAAAAGGGGCCGAGTTGTCAATCGTGATTGGGCATGCGGGTACCATTGCCGGCCTCGTTCTTCAGACTGTTGCCCAATGCACTCCGCTCATGTGCACAATGCATGCACTGGGAGTCCCTGGTCCTTACTCAAGCGCACTAGCATCTCGCGAATAAAGGCCAATCTGCGCAGGGGCAAGATCAACAAGGGCAAACAAGTTTGCCCCTGGTCGGGGTGTATCCACAGCGTACCAACGGCCTCGAAATCAACAGTGTCTTCCAGCGCTTGATGAACGTTGGACGTAGAAGCACGCAATGGCCTGTTTTTGTCTTGCCAATTTTGGTTTGGGCAAACAATCCTTGCCTGGTCTGCTCCGGGAACGCTCCACGGCGATAGCGGCCCAGGCATTCACTCTCGGCCTTACCACATCGCCACCACGCCAGGGAGAAGCTGGGTGGACCGCCAAGGCTAGCACGATGCCCCACGCCGCGCGCCAGCCCACCATGGCAAACAGGTTCTCTAGTTCTTGGTCACGCCCACAATATCTGCTTGGATGACTGATCTTGTAGAAGACGACCTGACTTGTGCGCTTTCCTCCGTCGCGGGCACCTCTGGTCATGGGACGGGGAGAGGCTAGAGGCAGGGTTATCCGGCAGTAGAAAGACGACATCGTGCCAGAAGCACACCTCGTTACATACTATGGCACTACGAAACGTCGATAGAGACACCTGGACGGATCGTGTTTGAACGTCGTCGATAGCCAGAAACACGTAACCTGCTCTGACTCCACGCCAATGCCTACCAAGCTGGCAGTATCGCTTTCTTGGCTCACTCCCATCAAGGGGTCTGCCGAACTAGAGGCTGCTTTCGCAGAGTACGTCCATTATAGTATTGTGCTTGCCGACTTTCGAGATACCCGATGATTGCATCCCATGCCCCTTTTCGCCAAGGGTCTTCGGCAGAACCTTCGCATTGCTATTTGCCCTCCTTCATATCCGCAAGCGTCGCTTCCGAGGGCACCGACAACACCGCGTGCCCCGCTGAGGTTCTGCGGCATCGTCGAGCTAAGAGGTGGTGTCCGATGCCGTGACGGACGCGTGGCGAACGCCTGTGGGAGAGCTGGAGTCATTTGGACAAGCGTTTCCAATTGTCTCACTCGTGTCGCAGTCACCTACTGGGGCATATGAGCGAACTTCGAGCACATGTTCAACTTGCATCTACACACCAGCTTGCATGCTTCCGAGTGCGTCGTGTTTCGTAGTGGAGTTCAACGCCTCATACCCAGTAGTCGGTGCCCTCTCCACGTCGTCCAGCTCGGCATTTGCTTCGTCATATTCTGTGGGTACAACGCCCAAGGCCTGGGTGATGGGCGAAAGAGCAGCCGAGGGCCCGTCGTGGGCGTGGATCTCCAAATGAGAACTAGCCACTGAGGCCGCTCTATACGGAATTTCTAGATTGTGTTCTTCGCACTTGAATATGAACCATCCTTTGTGGTCCTGAACGATCCTGCTATCGCATTTCGCGTTTCCGTCGTCGTAAAGCTCGTTACCGACTGTCTCCTCGGCCAATGCCATAGCCGAGGCTGCACGGCGAAGTCGTTTGCCTGACTTGTTAGGCGTATCTTCAACCCGTCTCTTCGCAGAAGAAATGGGAACGAAGACAGGTCGCGCTGGACAATACGGACTCTGTGCCTCGGCAACTGGAGCCAGGTCATCAGCGTGATACACTTCCATGGTAATACCTGAACAAGGCTGTGTTGGAGAAAGTGGCTTGGGCGACGAGCAATGCGAGACAGTCGGATTCCCGCCGAGTATGAAGTTGAGCTGCAGTGTTAGTGTGAGCTAGTCGAGACGTGCAGATATCGCTTACCAAAGTCTGCGTGCTTGGCAAGGCCGAGACCATAAGCCTATGCTGAACAGACGCATCGTAAGCCTTCTCGATCTCTGCCAGTCGCTGGCGGGCATCATCATATTCTTTTTGTTGACACGCATTCAGTTCCTCTTTTAGCTGTGTCTTTAGCTTGCGCAGGGCACTGATCTTTCTTTGGAGTGCCGGTGCCTCTTGATCCAGGTCGCGCTTAGCAGCAATTTCCCGCTCTTCTGCGCGGCGGCGAATGTCATTCAGATCGCAGACGAACCGCTCCACTGCCGTCCGGACTTCAAAGAGTTCCATCGTTGTCGTGATGTGAGGTAAGTTCTGCAGTGTTTCGCGGATGTGTTGGACAAATCAAGTCGGACCGGAGTTCTGCAGCCGGAGCAGACAAGCCAAACGCGGGAAAGGCAATGTACTCCTCGAGCTGGGCAGCTTATCAACCCAACGGACGCGAGATCGGTTACGCAGGTGGTCCTCTGAAGGCTCAACGGAATCAACGTCTTGAAAGACAAACTTGACTCCCAACTGGCTCGCGAAACCTTGACGTCGCAATGGCGCTAAGTGCTGATGGGTTCGTGCGAATGGTCTCATTTGCGAGGACTGACCATAGTTAGGTCTCGTCAATCCTGGCGCGTAGAGCGCCCGGATTGATCGTGGACGGAAGCTTCATGACGCTAGTCGCGACCGGGGTGATGTTTCGCTGCGAAAATCTCTGAAGTTTTCGTGTTGGAACCAGGGTGGCGTTTGCTTTGGCGGACTTAATTTGCCTTCTGCGACGCAGTTGCTAGCTGGGTTGATGTATTTTGGAAAACATCTGAAGGTTTTGTGTTGGAACCGGGGTAGCGTTGAAATTGGCGAACTTTGTTTGCTTCGCGAGGTGCTTCTCTCTGTTGGAGCCAGGATAGTGTGAATGTGCAAGCTTGCTTTGGCCAATGACCAGACTGTCGGGACAACTCTCATTTATACGGCAATCATGTCCTCCACTCAGAGATTCGTCGGCCTTCGGACTTGATCTATCCCGAATCTCCGCTTGCTGCTCATGCCTTCGACCGAAGTGGTTTAGTGAGATACAACACGGAGAGAGGCACCCGGGACCGTCATTGACACCTGTATTACGTCAAACTCCCACACAGTTGGGAAGCATGCGCAGATCAGCAGCCAATCTTCAGTTGCATGCCCCCACGGGTCGAAGATCCCTACGTAGCCGTTTGATCCCTAAGTTTGATGCGCGCGCTGTCTGGACGGCAAGTTGGACAGCAAAGCAAAACAAGTCAAAGTAACAGGTTAAGACGTTCGGAGACTGAAGTGAGATAAGCCGAGATTTTTGAGATGTGGCACAAGGCCGGGCAAGAAGCAGAAGTTCCTCTAGGACCTCACGTGTGGCTGCATGCGGTGCCGTGTTGCCCGAAGTTGCACCGTTCCTGGAGCCCCCCAAAAAATAAGCCCGACTATCAAGATTGGTTAATCTCGTAAGACAAAGGCCGAGATTCTGCAGACGCGTGGATACCGCTTCAGAACGGACGTCGTGTATGTCTACACACTCCGTTGGAGCCAGATTGCGATGTGGCCTGCCTCCGTTGCCAAAAAATCCGAGCTCATCTTTGAAGCGACAATCTGGTCCGGCATGCCCAGCCGTGGGGTTGAATCCGGGACGATGTGAATCCTCACGCTAGTGAAACCGACACTTTGATCCACTCTTCTTGCACTTCCAACCAACACTGCTATTCAAACGCAGCAAGCAAACGCAGCCAGCATGACAAAGATCAGAAGTTGGGGTTGCAGACAACATCGACCACGGCCCGCTTCCCACATCATCGCCCGCTTTGCGTGTCTGGACGAATCAACTACATCGTACATCAACCTGCTCCCGCAAACGACTCCGGACCCTCACAATCGACAGACAGTCCGTCTGGGCCATCACTTCTCGCAGCTCGGGCTGGCCAAGAAATGCCAACACCGTATCGGCAGCCGCGATGGCTTCCCTCGGCGTTATGCAGTGTGTAAGCTCCTGGTCGCAGGTCTTGGGTGAAGTGCCTCGGGGCCTCCCACGTCGTTCCCTTTGTGTCCACTCCGGGGATGCCTCATGCTCCGGCCCCATCGTCACTTCCGCTCGTACAGGCCTATCCTCAACTCCCGTCTCCCAATTGTGTTTCTTGCCTTGCTGTCTCTTGGACCGTTTCTTCAGAGACGCCTGCTCGAACAGCGAGCGGATCTCACTGTGCTTCTTCCTTCGTCGCGATACTCTCATGGCCAGGGCTGACTTGCTCGACGACGAAGAAACGCCAAACCGATGTTCAAAACCACTCTTGATCGTATCCCAGTCCTGGTCTTGCAGGCGTTGTTCGATGAGGTACTGTTCGGCGACGTCGATTTGGAGTTTGTCGGCTAAGTCTGGGTTGAGAATAGCCTTTTCTGGCGAATTGGGCTCGTTCCCACCGGAACAGACAGCATCTTCTGCCGAGTCGAAGTCTGAGGGTTCGAACGCATTGGGCGACCCGTCGTAGAATTGAGAAAACCCTCTTTGGCAATCGTCGCCGTAATCAATTGGGAAAGGCGGCGACGGCGATTGCCAAGCAGAAGGGTATGACGGCTGTGAAGGGATGAATGAACCGGTCCACTCACCCACGCACGATGTGTCTCGAGACACTGGCACGAGTGCTTGCTGGTCCGCCGAAAGTCTGGCCATCGTGCATGAGAGTCTTTCTCGAATCTCGAGTCCACCCAAGTGGTCATAACGACCGCCATGGCGAACTTCGTGAGGACCAAGTTATATGCGCATTGCACGTCCGCAACAAACACCTGCAAATGCGCCGCTTGAGAGCTCGGGTTCCCTGGAACGCCAATTGTTTCCTGATCTGCCCTGTATTATCACCGAACACTTTCACATCGGGACGTAGTGCGCAGTTGGATGGCAACACGATGTCTGTTGGTTATGTCTTGGGGTAAGGATGGTGATAGCACGAACCACTGTGTCGGGAATTGGTGGACAAGGGGCCGAGAGAGCAGATGGTGGGCGAGTCGTGCCGCCGTCGGTCGAAAAGGGCAGCGCCGGGAGTTTTGATCGCAAGACGTGCCGTAAACATTCTCCGCCATGAAGTGTCTTGAGCTTGATCGTGGTGACGATAGTATTCGCGAACGAATTCATCGAATTTCGGCGGGGAGGCCCCTTTCCATTGCTAGACTCTCACAGCTGTTCTTGCATCTGTCCCTATCGTTGGCTTTGCCTCTCACCTGACCTCGGCTGTCTGCATGACGCACATCGCAGAGACGCACATCGCAGAGATGCTTTTTTTCCCGAACCAACACAAGCACGCAGCCCAGGGACTGGGAATCGAAGATCTGCGTCACTGCCCTGAGCCACCGCAACGTGAATTATTGGCATACCTTCACCAAGCGAAGGCACCGTCTGGGCGGCCGCTTCGGGGTTGGGGGGTGCGCGATTGCAGGGGTCCAGATTCAAAACAGGCGGTGGGTACGCGGTTATGTTATGTGAATGCTTCGTCCTCGGCCGTAACAGAATCAAGGCAATAGATCGTTTGCACGCCCGTCTAGTCGCAACCTTGATCGCGATGATGGACCACCGCGCATGGCTTAGTGGCGCTGGCAAAAGAGTGATCAGTGTATAGAATCCAGGCGGTTGCGAAGCGAGTCAAACATCGATGCCTCGCTGATAAGGGGACAAAGCATCCCACTTATCTGAGGCGGGGCCCCATCCAAGCCCAGCTCGCTGCACTGATCTTCTGCCCCCGGAGCTACGGGGAGGGGAGAACGACGAGACGGTCGAACCGAGGACCACACGCACCACTACCGGCCGGACGCGCGCATGCGCCGAGTTAGCTCGCCCGGCTTGATACTGCCCATTTCCGACAGCATCTTCCCATGCGAGGTCAAATTTGTAACTCTGAAAGCATATTTCCTCAATCGTATGGGGGGGGGGGGGGATCATCCGTGCCAGTCTGTCAATTCTGTCAATTGTTTGGCGGTGCTGTGACTTCGGCCTGGGCCATAGGATGAATCACGCGCCCGCCACCCAATGGAGCTGGTCTTGCTTGTGTAGACGAGGGAATGCGACGCTGGCAACAAGCAGCAGCTGTAGGGTAGCATCGGGTGAACTGACCCCCGTACGCCAGTGTCGAATGCATGGGTAGGGAACCGGTTTGTTGGTGCTTTGGCGTTGGTGCCGGATGGCAGGCGACAACCACACACCAGCCAATGCTGCCGATCCCAGCGCAGCTCCGACGGCGGTGAACAAAGCGGCGCGACCGGCGCGACGTATACCCCGTTTCCGCGAATTGATGAGCTATCGCGAAGACACCTGAACCTTGATTGCGTGTCGCGAAGCAGCTGGCCAGAGTCGCCGTAGCACTAGAGCTGCCGTTTTGAGGCGAATAAGTTGAATTCGGAATATCTGTTGCGTCGGCGTTGCTCGTCGGTCAATGATCATGGCACATGCGACGTTGGAGGCGGAAAAAGGACGAACTTTGCCACAAGCTGGCTTAGATCAGGTTTGTCCGCACCGTTGTCGCTTCCCCAGGTCATGGATCCCGGCACCATCGGAAATGGTAGTGGGTTAGCTGCATCAGACACGCTGCTGCGCAAAGAGCTGGAGCAACTGACGACGGGAAAATTTCTCCATATATGATCATTCCCAGTCAGGTCCTCAAAAGCGATGCCCGTACACAAATGGCGCCGGCCGGGTGACAATTGGATAACAGCCGCGGCTTTCGGCTGTTCATCCAACCGGCCATGTCTTGATCGTTGACATGCACGGTGCGATATACTGTAGAAACTCGCGAAACTCGAACTTGCGTTAGCCCGTGCATTCGACGAGCCATACTATTCTCAGTGTCAAGAATTCGCTGATCTCCGCCACTTTTTGAGATTGAGATTGAGATTCTGAATAGAGGCATTTAGTGACCAAAGCCCAGGTAAGACAGCGGAGCACGGGCTAGCGCAATTTCTGGAGAAACTGGTTGCGGAGTGCATGTGTACTCAGCATTGAGCCACTAACCGTTATACCGCGCTGAGCTGGGTTGGGTTTCTTGCGCCTGCGCCCAGGGCACAGCCTTCTTTCACGGTTCGATCTGGCCGAGACTTCCCTCCGCACTTCAAGGCCATGAGTTGCTCTCTATGCGTAGTTTGACGTTGGATTTGGGCTAGCCACGCTGATTATGAAGGCCCCGAGTGGAGGGATCCGGTTTGCCAGGAGCTTCCACAATTTCTTCCAGTACAGACCCAGGCCCTTCGGCGATAGATCACCCCGAGTCTGGCCGTCACCGCGGCTGACCATTCGACTGCCTTCAGATCGTCCTGCCTTCAGCCCTCTCGTCAAGGTGTCTCGTAAACCCGGCCTGAGATGCGTTCTCCTGACGCAAGCGTGCGCCCGCTTCTCGCCTAGGCACACCAGTCGTGATCAGCCTTGGGATAATTGATGACGCAATTGATAACGGACTGTTTGGATACTGATGCTGTCTGATAACCATACAAAATCATGGTTCATGCCAATTGCGCCTGGTGGTTCAACACTCTAGTTCCTGCGCTTTCTTGAGAGCGATATGCGTTTCAGGCTATTGCTCACAGACACAGGAACCGGCCGTAATTCATTATGCCTATTCCCCAAGTAGCTCGCCAGCAAACCTTCAAGAAAGCAAGGTCATTGAATTATATATTACTTCACTACGGACTTCCTTATCTCTGTATGACATGATGCCGGACAGCGCCAAGTAACCTCGCTTTCTAGCGTTCAGAGTGCACAGCCGGTTATTGACTGGAAGGTAACGAAGTCAAGCCAACCAAAAAAATCCATTTCCGAACGGCCAGTGTCTCTCTCTTTGGGTAGATGTCGATCGGCACGGACGAAAACTGGCCGGACTTGCTCTTCCGCATGCTTACAATCGCTCGACCGAAGGGGTTGAATATCCTTTGGCCTCTCGAGCGTGGCCATTTGTCGGTGGTGCCCGTCTTTGTATTTGATGTCAGCGGTCAGGTCGGAGTCACCTGACGTGTGCTGCGTGCGAGGTGAATCTTCTACAACAATGCAAAGACGGTCGTGTAAGAGAAATAGGTCGCTTGTGGCAGCAAAGTCGGTAACCATGACGGCATAAGATAGTAGGTAATGCTGCAGGCAGGGTGAGTATGGACGTTATCGATGAGGGCGCGCTGGACTATGAGGAGTGAGAATATCTTGGAGTGAGAATGGGAGCAAGCCTGCTTATTATCTTGAGAAAACCATCCATGTTAGGGTTGCCTCGCTAGCTATCATCAAGTATTGAATCGATCAGAGAAATGACGCTAACTCAGGAGAAAGACAAGAGCTGTGCAGACATCCAGCGGAAGCTCACAAGAGTCGTGAGTGCAGTAGTAACAAAGGCACTACTAACAAACATGTAACCAGCCTGATAACATGGAAGGGGTGATGGTGTGGTATGCCTAGCCTGAGACGGTTATTGGTCACGCCTTCAACTACCCTTTGGTTCTGATAACCGCGCTGTACTCGCTGCGGTCGATCGTGCCTTGACATAAACAACTATTCACGGGATCTTGTTTGCTTCTGTGGATAAAAATGCATTTGCATGGGAGCCCGACGGTCTATCGTTTATCTTATTGTACGTACCAGTCTAAACTCGCACAGGGGGCTTGTGGATGAATCGCTCGCAGCTCAAAATCCTAAAGTGTCAATCACACTAATAGAGCACAGTGTCATGTGAATGAATAAGATACCAGCTCGAGCATTCATTACCTTCTGCCGAGTGGATGGGGAAACTGAGAGAGGAGAGCGAAAGCCATAAGAGGTGGTCTCAAACAAGTCTCTGATCCACCATAGCGCTGATGGTTCTCTGCATACGTTTTTGTGAAGCTTGGACAGGCCCCCAACTGTGTTGGCGTTAGCTTGCTCCAACGCCTCTACTGTGTTATGAGAAGTCAGCATCCACCATGCCACAGCCAACAGGGACGTAACATGTTTAAGTCGGTTATAGAGTCGTGAATGGCGAAGTCCAAAAGCCACTCCCTCAACAAAAAGATGCTATGCCGGCTATTGCTTTCGGGTCTTCTATCTGCTTCAAGCTTCGAGTTCATCCGGCCACTTTCAACAAGGAAGCAGAGCGGCTCGAATCCATCCCGATTTCTTTCATTCTATACAACGGTCACCATGACCAAGCTTAGCCTCATACACTTGTTGCTGAACGGGGCACTTTTAGCCATGCCTTACAACTGGGGCAGCATTGCTTTTGCAGAGGTAGGTTAGATGACCAGGTCTCGTGATTCTCTCTCTTCGACTTTGCGATGATTTCCTTCAATGTTTTACACGCTTGCTTCTGAAGACCGAGCTTTTGCTACGCTGCCAGCTGAACCAACCGCATTTCTAGATCCAGGGGATACAGCCCACCAGCATCATACGAATCGGCCTTCATCGCGCTTGCATCGCGCTCAAAGAACACGAAGAATGCCTGAATATGAATGGCCTGAATAGAAGTGCGGGCGTCTCCATAGTGGATGGCGCGAACGAGATTTCGCTACGGGTCACGCGATACTTCGACGTGGTCACATTGATTAAAGTTGATAGCGTAGCAACCCTCTTGCTTGCAGCCTGTGGCTGGATCGTGATGCGGTTCCGTCTTCGTAGAGCGATGGGATGGTGGAGCCTGGCGACGATGGTACTTTGTTCCATTCCCGTCACTCTTAACGCTCTTGCAGTCTCTTCTTACCTCGCGGCGCTCAAAGGCATCCCCACAAGTAGGGGGAGTTGTCTGGGGAGCAGCGGTGTCATGATCATGGTAGGGTTGAGCTGTTCTATTATCGAGGTCATGATCGCTGTGGCAACTGTGCTATGTAATACCTCCAACTCCGCGGGTATTCATCACGACGACCAGGTCGAAGCCTTACATTTGGACTGCTCTGCGGAGAGAAATACCATCCTCCTCGACAAAAAGTCGGAACATAATGGCTGAACCGGAGGGGCAATCCAATACTAGGTCAACGATTCACCACGACCACGTCGCCATCGGTTTGGGGTATTCGGCAGAGGTGTACTGGAACAGTGAACGGTGTTGACTCAGCTGATGGGTACATGACGGCTGCCCAAAGCACTCGTTGATGCCTGAAGGCTTTGACTCTTGTATCTTTCGCTCCGATCTCGTAAACAGATCATGCCCTTTCTTCGCTGGCAAGCTAGAGGGCACCTGTCTCGTATAGCGCCATCTCTCGTATACATTGGTGTATCTGGGGACCAGGCCTGAATATATAATTGACTTTTTTTTACAGTCAATTATATCGCGCTGAACCTGGTAGTACAGCGTCCGGCTAGCAGAGAGACCTAATACTCAGCATTGTATGCCGTTCAAGGCCATCGATTCTAGTCTACATCAATCGTCATCTGTACGTCATAAACATGAGCCCAGAAGAAAAGAGAATGACAATTTCATTCCCAGAGCAGTAGCTACCAAGGGGGGTAAAAGGACAATAATCTCTCAACGCATAACGTCATTCTGGTGGGTCGATAGCTTCAAGTATCTACGGGCTTTTCTACGCATCGTCAACCTTTTAGTCAGATCTATACTCCGTTCCCTACCTTCGTCACGCCTGTCTTCTAACCCAGGCCGCTCTTCTGTAAGGCGACTACTGATATCTCATCACCCATGACATAACGTACGGCGATACGTCTTCTGAAGTCTCAAATGATTTGTGAAAGACAATGGCCACAGGTAAGTCCACCCCCACCGTGTCAGCGGCGAACCCGCAATAGCCACCTGAAGATGGATAATTATATAAGGACACAGACTGCGCTCCTAGTCTGTTATTTTGCTGGCAATGAAGTGGCTCCCTTTCGCTTCGATCAGTACTTTTGCTACTTTTATAGTTACACATGTTTTGGCAGAGGGCTTCGAGGAGGAGTGTTGGAGGGGTCCTGCGATGAGACTCGGCGGCATGGAATACTTCGAGACTCCTGACGATGCAGCCGCATGTCCTGAGGCACAAATCTACTTTCTAGGCTCCCAGAGGGAAGTCCTTCTATCCCAACAGGTGAATATTACAAACTCGTCTACCACTTGCTCTTCCAAGCTGTTGCAAGCCATTTCCTTGCCGGCAGGCCTTGAAGCCACCTACGCCAAGGTGACTTTCTTGTGCGGCAACGACGACGGTCCCAGCTGTCAGATGATCCGGCTTCTGCCACCAGATGCCTCGCATTCAGCTGCAAAACTGCCTTTGGCAATGACAAGAACATGTCTGGACTCGAGCCTCACGACGGCTACCTCCCCATTGGACGCTACTGGTACTGCAAGCGTTCCGTGGAACGGCACTTCACCCACGACCGTGGCCAGTCTTCCCACTTCGATAAACGATGAGGGCCCCGTATCTCCCACTCCAGCCACGGAAATCCAATCAACGCCCCCATACTTCTATACTGGCACCGAAACAGATGGCATTGGACTTCCTTCGACGTGGCTAGGCTCAGACCCTGAGACCATCCGGCCAACGTCTATCACGACCGATATCTCTCTAACCCCTTCGGAGACGGCCGCAAGTCCCACCACATTGATAGATAACACCAGTAGTACCATAGGTAGTGCCCCTGCCGGAAGTTCCTTGGAGGTTCCCCCCGGTGGCTCTAGTGAATTTCCCGGCGCGACAACTTTCATGACATTGACTGTTTCGAGCATCACTCCTGCGCCCAGATGCACGTGCAAAACGTCCTAGGTGCCATCACTGGCAATAGAAGGACAGTATCAAAGGCCAAGACTTGACTACGAGTCAGCTGAAAAGAGCATGGTACTCCACAAGACATCAGGCAACTCTACAAAATAGGCAAGCGTTCATGGACGGCATAATATGATTTCAAGTTGGTTTCTTCTTAGTGATGACCAGGATCGCTTGATCGCTTAGTGAATTGAAAAATAAACGCTTATCTGGATCCTTGAGACAAGAAATGTTGTGACGTGATTAACTACAACCTCCACTTTTCAGACTTTTGATCCTGTCACGTTCGTTAATAATAGAGGAAAGAAGAGAGTGAAAAGACCAGGGAAAGAGAGGAGGAACCAATCACCCTCAAGTGTGGGACTCCGACTTTCGGCTATAGCCACAAACGCGATGGACGAAAATGATGTATAGGGAGCGGCCTCCTACTCGCACCCGTGAAATTCTCAAAGTCGTCAAATGCAATCCGAGAGCCACCGACACTAGCTTGCTAGTTACGACGCGGTCGCCACACGCATCGTTGAGCTGGTGATGACACAAACATTGTGATAATGAGCCGTCATACGAACAAGCTGAGACATTGCTCTCATGTAGTTCAGCATCTCCAGGCGAATCAACTTTCTCGTCTTACGCCTGCGCATCTAAGCGACATTTCCCTGGTGCTACCAGTCCGGTAACGGCCTCCCCGGCTTGAGCGGTCGTTCATCGCCCGTTTCAACCGTGATCTCAACCTCTTTGGTAACGAGGATTGCGTTTGGCGCTGGGGTGGAACGCCTCCAAGATGAAGTTGATCTCTTTCTCGATCTTGTGCTTGCCGCGCAAGTGGCCATGAGGGGCCGGAGCGTAGCGATGCAACCTGCAACGATACCAATTGACGGCTCCAGAAGAGACCATAAAGCAACATCGCTTTGAGATATGTTTCGTCAGCGTTCTATCGATCAGCCATAAGCTCAACACACGTACACTGTCTGGTAAAGGAAGTCGGCCGATATCTCGAGCACCTTTATGTAAGGTATCCTAATGATCATGATGATCCCGGCACTTCCAGTGTGTCAGGCGTCAGTGGGAAGGAAGTGCTAAAAAGGCGGATAGGGATTCTGGCTTACATCACACCAATTCCGAAAAAGCATAACAACCGAATCTTCTTCTCTCGCTTCATCTGAAGCTGCCAAAGAATCGACATAGGTAGTATGCCAATCACCCAGTCGCTCAGAGCGGCAATGACACTGTGGGCGACTGTTGCGTTCGGCACGAGATGGGCAGGGCGACAGCTGCCCTGGAGTCCTTCGAACTTGCCCCAGTAATAGTTGGGCGGGTTGCACTGGAAGACGACTATGAAGAGGTAAACCAAAGACGAGACCCAGACCAAGGCGATGTTGGCTTGCAGCATCTTCTTGGCCAACTTGTTTGTCCCGCGGTTGAAGATGCGGAGGAGAAAGAGGCAGATCGAGGTCCGGATGAGGGCGGATATGAAGGCGTAAAGAATCTCGCACATGTACCAGACCTTGAGCGCTATAACAATGCTGTCTGGGTCCAGATCTGAGGTATGTCGGCCTATGCCGCCGTTGATAATACCGTGGACGGCGACGGCTGCGTAAACGGAGTACAAGACCTTGGGTGTTGTTAGACGGATTGCTCGGCAACGATCTGAAAAGAAAGGCTCACAGTTGAAAGATACATAACGCCATCGTCGACTGTATGGCTCTCCGTGAGGGCTATTTTCACGTATAGTCGAAGACTTGTGGCAATCCAGGCTGCCGCGAGAAATGCCGCCTGCACGCCGAGAGCTCGGGGCCCCTATTCTGTTGCGATGGCATACTTTCGAGATCTAAGTCTTTGTAGAAAATGGTTCTTATAATGCAGATTGGTTCGTACGTGAAGGGATACGCCGCATAATCTACACAAGAGCAAAGTGTATCCTAAACGTCGTAAGGCTATGGATTTACAATGTATATTCACAAGGAAATCTTGGGGCATATTTCACCCACAACACCGTCGTCAATGATATATATGGGACCAAGAAAAGGCAAAAAAGAAATGAAAAGTGGTAAAACCAGAGGATAACTCAGGATAACTCTCGTGGAGCACTCTAACAGATGTTGTTATACTTGAACTCAGATGGAGGTTATGTTTGATCACGATCCAGAACTTTCACAAAATAGGGTGTTTCGCCATTTCTAGGTCTTCATCCGTTACCACTTAATTATGAATAATCAGCACGTTGCACTTTCTATTGCTAACTGTTACTGTTGTTACCGAACCAGGCAGCAACGATGCGTGATACAAGGCAGTGACGTCGCCATGGTTAACGCGAAAATCAATAGACTTGGAAGCAAGACTACGAGAGAGACTACTATGTAGTCTTGGCATACGCTATGGTTGATTCGTTCCAACAAGCATCACGATCTACCTAGACAACAGAAGCATGGGGAAGAAAGGGCCGCTTGGACACACAGAACGCTTCGTTCTCTAGGCTCTACTATATTCTAGTTCAAATTTCATGGCCGGAATAATTAATAGAGAGATCAGCAGAATGCTAGGCGCACTGTTGCATTCTGCAGACTGGAATCGTATTACTTTTTCCCCAGCACGTTACTAACGGATAAGCTCTATGTTCCCCAGCAATTTGCCACATAGACATGGTTGACAAATACGCTCTCCTGAGTCTCCTAGCGTTTAAATAACGTGAGCTTCAGCAATGCCGATCTGTGCCATGGCTTTTACCTCAGCTCGGCTCCTGCTGAGAGACACGAGGGAGCTGCGTTTGAGTCGTGACTTACGCATCTGCCGAAACCTGGTGTTTTTGTTTTCTCATGAAACTAGTTTCCTGTAGTTTGTGAACTGTCACATGTTCCTTGTTGAGGTCATAGTGGCGGATCAAGAAGCTTGCAGCAAAGGCAATCGCCGCCAACGCAACGTAAACGCTGTGTACGCCCTTGAGACCCGAGGCATACGATTGCAGCACGCTTCTCTTGAACGAGTCATCAGGTAGCGTCCGGAGAACAACGAGGTACTCCTCGGCGTGCTGCGCAATGCTTCTTGTAATGCCTTTCCGCTCGAGCTCTGCAGCCATCACGTTTTGAAATGTTGTTGAGCCGATGTTGACACCAACAGCGGACCCCAACATGCGTAAAAATAGATACATGGCCGCCGCGGCACCTGAATCACTCTCATCGACGATGGCGCCCGTCACAAAGGTCTGCGCATTGAGGACGAGGCCGTGTCCGATGCCAGCGATGGCGAGAGTGACGACGTTGACGGCCAAGTGGGTTTCAACGCTCCAACTGATGAAAAGGCCCGAGGCAGCCGCCACCAGGACCCAGCCCATCCAGATAGACCAGCGGTAAGCATTCAAGCGGGATACGAGGACACCTGAGATGATGGAGCCAGGAACCAGCAAGAGCGTTACCGGAAGCATTGCCACGCCCGCCATGGTTGGCGTCTTCTGTTTGACTGAGAGGAAGTAGAACGGGACGTAATAGAGTTGGCCATAGAGCTAATTCAGGGTCAGCGGGTCTTTAGGGCTTTCCGATGTTTGTTATTTGTCCACTTACAATAAATCCTTGAAGGAGACCAAGAACGTAAACGGTGACGGAGCTCATGTCTGTGAAGAGTGTTCTCTTTAAGAACGGGACTTTGGCGAAACGATGCTCGTAGAACAGCGTGGTCATCAATCCGGCGGCGCCAATGAAAACCGGCACGAGAGTCTGTGCACTGCGCCAAGGAAAGTCATTGCCACCCCAGGAGAGACCGACCAGGAACGTCACCATAGAGCCGATGAAGAGAAAACCGCCAAGCCAGTCGACAAGTTGAAGCTTTTCGGCGAACGTGCGTGTAGGAGGCTTCAGGGTTAAAAGAACGGGCACGGCGATGAGGGAGTATGCACAGATGGGGAAGTTGATGTAGAAGATCCACCGCCACGTGGTGTGCTCGGCGATGGCGCCCCCGATGACGGGACCAACAAGCGAACCAACTGCCCACGCTAGTTGTCTGTCTCGTTTCTTAGTACGTCTCTTCTGAGGGTCGTCTACTGGAAGGATGATACTCACATAATGCCATAATACTTGGGCCTGTAGCGAAGGTGTACAATGTCGGTGAAGACCACCAGGCTAAGCACATACATCCCGCCAGCGCCGATGCCCTGGACGACACGGCCGCCAAGCAAGGGTCCAATACTTTCAGCAACGCAGCATAAGGTCGTACCCGTGGTAAAAATCACCAAGCTGCCGATCAAAATGACAGGCCGCCCGAAAATCTCACTGAGCGATGCCAGCAACGGCATGACAGTAGCGCATGAGATCAAGTACGCAGTGCCTACCCAGAAAGCCTGTGTAGATGTTCCGCCAATGTCTTGTATAACGGACTGGTTCAGAGTATTGGTCAGTCTTTTTTTTCCCTCCAGATACCAGCTTCCCGAGGAGTGAGACTTTACCGAGAGGGAGGTGACGATGACGGTGGCGTCTAAAGCGATGACAAAAGACATGATCGATAGGGTTACGATGACGACCATTTGGTGCCTAGACGGTTTCCAAGGCTGCCGCGCGTAGATGTTCTCGTCGGGCTCTCTGATTTCAACATCATTCCCGCTGTTAATTTGGTTGGACATTTTGATGATTGTGGCTGACCGCAGTCGTCCAAAAAGTTTGCCAAAGTGTAGTTCAAACGACCGATGAAGAGAGACCAGCGGCAAACAAAAGCCGTCTATGGTATTTCTTACACGGGGACGACCGACTGCTTTGTATTTAAACAGCAATCATAACGAAGCTCAATTAGCGGTGCACTGGCGATGTGCAGACAAGGGTAACGTCATATAACCGATATAACCCTAGGTCATTTACTAGCCGCCAGCGCGGCGTGAATGCCACATGCCAGATTACGGACTGTGCTGTTTGTTGCGAAATATAGTTAGCCTAATACGGGGCCATTATCGTACTCCAATATGAGGTAGGAAGGCAAATAACATGATGAGAGTCCGAGTGATCCTGGTATGAAGTGGATCTGGGGTTGTTTCGAGTTATTCCCCCGTCTGCGCTTGAATTGATGTGATTGGTCTATGTAGGAAGAGCCGCCTCAGCGATATGCCAATCATTTCGTTAAGCAAACTGCCAGCTTTTGTTTCCCGTCACGCTCAAATGTATCCTACAAGGATTCATCCCTGCCTGCGGAGCGAGTGATGGGTGATGGGCCCGGTCGCGGGAAGGGAGAGGTTCTTTGGTGTGAGCGCGGACACTACCCATGAGGCTAACGAGATGCGAATCTTCAGAATGGACCGTTGTGATTATCACGGGCGCATGGCCAACGGACTATGCGGCGGGATAGGCGCAGTGGAGTACAGGGCTCGAGGACGTTAACTGGCGAGTGGCTCCGCGCCTTGGCACATGAAACAAATCGTTTCTCTCGATGTGTTCCTGTCGTTATGTGTATCTGTTTGCTCGCATCACTCCTTTACAACTACCGTGCTCCTAATCAATACTATCGAGATCGCACTTCAGTAGGCCTTGATCATATGATGCTTTACACTCATTATTGTTCACCACTGTGTGATCCTTCGCATGGGCCCTATCATCTACCATTCCGTCCAATAACAATATCTACCTCCTACATGGTCAGAAGTCAGCTCAATATCCTATAACCAGTTTTTAGTAGATGAAAGACGCACAATATTTACTGAGGTGCAACGAAACTGACATCTCCATGGGACCTTTCTCAGACACACGGCACCCGCCATCACCCCGAAACGAGACTGGGAGGTTAAGCTGCGGCACCTGTTGGCACTGATGAGTCTAAGAGTCTGACCGGTGGAGTGGCGGTGTTCTCCATGCCAAGCAGTTCCGGATGTTACGAGCTGGGGTTGCGATGTGGGTCAAAACGCCGCCCGAACCAGAAGCTGGATGCTGCCAGGGTTGATCGCCTTCCCAGCGCCGCCTGTTCCGCTCTGTATGGTTTCACTCCACTCTCTAGCTTGCTTTGTGCAAAGAATCCATGCCGATTGGTGAATCGCGGGAACTATGTTATCTCGCATCGGCGTCTCCACTTGGTTATCAAAAGCCAAATCTTCAAAGATCGGTTACTAACCGACTGGTCAGAAGACCTCTACATACAATAGTATGTTGTATCGCGGCTGTTACCTACGTCAGCCAATTTAAAGGCTCAACGCCACTAGTGTTGGTAACGGATAGTAGCTCGTCCTGCTTGGCTATTTTTTTCTTTTCTTTTTTTGCTGCGATTGTCTGACTTAGATGAGTTAACTACAATGGTTATTGGTGTTTGTCCATTTGTTAAGGACGCATAAGGTCCCGCCCTTTGGCCATACTGTGACGAACGTTCGTTTCCTCTCCAAAGCTTATTGCAGAGAGGAGCTGAAAGGGATGTTATCTGTGTACAGATGGTGGCTGTTGCTGACATAGTGTTTTTGTGCAATACGCTGCAGGACGATCGAATATATATGCCCTGCAAGTCGACAACTGTCGTCTCTGCTATTCCGCTATCGTCCGACCTCCCGACTTGCATCTCTCCGCCAAATAAATACAGCAAAGATGAGTATCAAGGGAGCGCTATCCACAAGACACAATAAGGTAAGCCAGTCCAAGCGAAAGAATACGCCGCATTGTTGTCTAATGACTGTGGTCAGTTACCACGTTGTCTAAAAATTGACATAGGCAGGTGGGAATGGGAAGCTACTGTCTGCTCAATTGACCAAAACCCAATTGCTTCTGGTGTAAGAGTCCTCTCACTGGATACTACTGCAGATCGATACGTCCGCTCGGAGAGGACTCTTCCGTACCTCAGACGAAAGTTGTCACAATCCGACGTAGATCTGACCTATGATTACGGGAGCGATGAGGCGGTCATCTTGCGTTACCTGTTTTACGTGCTGCCGAACCTTACTCAACTCTACTTACGTCTCTCTGGCATTGAGGACGCATCCTACTTCACACGGTTGAGGGAAAACCCATTGTTGAGCCTGAAGATTCTCAGAGTACAGTATCTACGGCGTCAATGCTCGCTGTGGTTTAGCGCCTGTTTTGGTCTTTTCGACGCGGCACCTAGTCTCGAAGAAATTAGGATTGATGACTGCATCATTAATCCTCGGATACTTAACGAAGGACTGAATCTTCCAAACGTCGGAAGGGTTCGACTCATCAACGCCCAGTTCTTCAAAGACGACACAAGTTCCCACGGCACCCAACACTTCCCACGCAACAACTGCCCTAGACTTCGCGTGGTGGAATGTAGCTTCCGATTCGATGCGAACGCCGACTCGGAGCTATTTGCTACACTTTCAGATATGCTAGTAGCTTTGGAGCCGGTGGCAACTCAGCTTCACGGACTGGAACTTATTGTGGGACAGGATATCCGCCGCACGAATACGGTCGTATCGCTTCACTGGCCGGATTTTCGAGGCTAGAGGCCGTCTCTATCGCCACCGAGTTCATCGAGGATATTTCCTACATTGTTCGCACGCTCCCACGCTCGGTCAGGAGGCTTTATTTGCATGTTGCGAAGAGCGAAGTCGTCGAATTTATGTTGAATGGCACGTAATTAGGATCTTATGTAGGCAACGGGGGAGGGAGCGGCGCATTATTGGTCCGAGGTAGCAAGCGTTAATGATCCTCCGGAATAGATGGGTGGCTAGCTGTGGAGGAAAAGGATAGCAAGCTTTGTCGTTGTTTACTTAGTTTTGTAAGGACTATGTCAGTTTTCCGTGGACGCGAGTAGTATTGTATTCATGTCACGCATTTCCGTTGGGATGATAGCCGGAAGTCGATGTACTCGCACATTGCCAGTGACAATTCATAGTCGCCCGGATAACTTGTGGCATTTCTGTGTTGATGTTGCATTCAGGTGGCCCTATGTGACCCCAGGTGGCCAACCCGAGGCTAAAGTTGAATACATCCCTTGTTATGGCTGATTGCGTGATTTTACCTCGTTTGACTAGGGCTGATCTGAACGCTAGTATATGCCCCCTAGTGAGGGCCATTTTCTCTCCGTCAAGAGCTTCATGTTCGTAGTTCAGCCATGTCCCAGAATTATGTCGGAGTTCGGTAAAGCTAGCGACGCAGCTGACGACGTCGTTCTACCTCCTTCGCGAGCACCCGATACATCATTGAGTATGTCAGGCATTCAAGCCTGTGAAAGAGCAGAAATGCAGAGACGCATTGTCAAGAGCTACTATTCACAACTATGGAGCCACGTATATAGATACACAGCTACGTATCATCGCCGTATAGGAATTCCGATTCTGCTCTGCTACACTCCATCAGTCAGATCAGGGGGGCTTCCAGGAAATTTCTATCAGCACATAGCTTTGTCAACAGAATCCATACACATGAATTCAGCGGGTCGTGCTTGTATTCAAACCATCCTTAAGAGCCTCTTCTGGGGGTTGAAGGCAATCTATCGGATTCCAAAGAGGCCGAAGCTACAATTAATGTTTTCCAGTCGGAGTAGGCTCGCAGCAACCATCCACGCCGACTAAAACTAGCCTGAACGTGGCGGTTTTCTTACCAGTAGACAAGCAAGTCTAAGTACAATTCGGAAAGATAGAGAAGTGCTTCATCTCCACGAGTGCACTCAGACCCAGACCGGTAGCGTGAGAGAGAATAGCAGTCAAGTTCGATATCCAAGCTCAGCCCTCCTCAATTCCCAACCCATCAGCTACCTCTTGCCACTGAGAAGAACATTATGTCACTATAGATATAGTGACTGCTATTTATACGGCACTTACTCCTTTTATTAACACGTACAAATGTATCTTATTCAAATCAAAGCCTAAGATTCGGAGAGTCCAAAAAAGACGCCAAAGGACCTCCTAAGACCAGGAAAAACTTCGCAGGTGGCATAAATTATAAACTCGTTTTAACTAATATCATCGAAAATATTATTAAAGGACTGCAAAGAGCCAGCATTTAGATCGCGAGGTACTATATCTCAGCCTCCAAATAGACTACAAGCTCCAATCCAATTTTACTCTTGCTTATAATCTTCCTCAATGACGATAAGACTAATGGGATAGATCATAATAAGCAAATTTCATAATAACAATCATTGCTACGGCAAAACTCCAATCGGCTATAGCCGACGCCTTTCACGCCCGCTATTCAGTTCAAACTTAAACCAGCAATTGATCATCTTGAGCTGCTAAGTACCTATAAAAAAGTCGTAATCAGTATTAGCCAGAGATACTAAGTAGGTAGTACTACGATGTCTTCTTTTACAAGGCAAGCCATCTTTTACCACTTGCTGTGGGCGACACCATAACTCATTTAACATGTTTTCTAAAAGTTCTTAGAAGTTACACTTCCCTATATTGTGCCTATAGTCAAGAACCATAGCGGCTGTAGTCCATATGAGACGGACGCAATAATACACCATGGCTTGTCGTTCCGGAAAATAGTTGAAACGCGTAACATATTACCCACAAGCAGTTTTTAAGGACTTTCGGGCGGTGTTTAGGTATATATACCAATCTACCTTGTCCTTAGATCGTCCTGTCTTATGCGCATTACAGAACGCAGCAATATGCTGAGCTTAGTTTGAGCTTCTTGCTCTACGTATGGTCTCCACGGATCTGTCTAATTAATTGAATGCGGAAGTATTCTAGGAAATGAAGATCCCCCAACGCCGCTCATGGTACTACTCAATCTATCACCGCACAAGATCGCATACCACGGAACGACTGCCCGTCTCGTATAAGCCTATTACTTCGAAGAATCAAGCCGTTTTAACTATGCATGTCTTCCACGTAGAATCTCGCTTCGTAATAGAATGAAAATATGCGAGTTATTGGAGTAAAAACTACTGGGACCAAATGTGCGACAGTAAGATATGACTGAACATGCGCCTAGTCACGTCGATGTCACGACAAGTGACCATCTCTAGTCGCGTACGAAGACACATCCTGAAACGCCACGCGGATAGTGAACTCAGAAGAGACATCAAAGAATATAGTCACTCTTTGATCAAGCCACGTGTCACCAGGATCTACACACACATGTCCAATAGTCTGTCCATTAGTGGTGTTATAAGAAGCAGGAACTCACTTTATGATTAGCTAGACGTAGGTTTGCATCGTTCTAGAACAACTCTTTAATCCGAAATAGACTTTTAATCAAGTCCATTGTCCCGATATCGCTTCGGAAGTCTCACGCAACGACCACTTCGCGTTCTGGCTATCGGTATACTATGCTGGGCGAATCTTGCCTCTGGTTCCACGTCGAGAGGTGTTTTTTCGTCAGTTGATGGGAACGACGAAGTGTTAGCTTTATCGGTACTTTCCACAAAGCGGACCCGTCGGCTTTCCCTTGTACATTTAACTGGACAACAACAAACTTTAGATTTTCTGGAACTTTTCGAGGACTTCCCTTGTCTGAGAAATACAGCGCAGGCTACGGAGATAACTATGGTGATAGCCACGAGCGGGAATAACGTAACCATCTCACAAAGCTCTTTGCTAGTTGGGTTCATTGATACTGGCATGAGAAGAAGGCTCGGCTTAAGTACTCGTCGTCGTTGGTTAAGAGGGGAGAGGGAGAAGGGGGTGGTGGGGTTTGAGTTGATTGACTTCAATTGTCTCTAGCTTCTTACGCGATAGTTAGGTAATATCCCAATGGTAGCTTTGGCTATATGCGTCTTCCACAACCCTGTGAATTGGGTTTCGCCAAGGTACAACGTCCAAATTTGAAATTCAAGTATTGCCACTCCGTTTTGAAAAGGCCGTCCTATTATGTGCTCACACAAACCCGATCTTGTTGATGTTCATGCCGAGCTCCTACACGCCTCAGATCACTAACAACTTCTTTGGATTCAGTGATCGGTACTTAAAATCCCATAAACGGACTTGGCTCTAGCTAAGGTGGCAGGAGAGGACGAACGAGCTAGGAAATTTAATGATATTGTATTGTCGCTGAACAAGGCATGAATCACGTCGGCCAACACCAACACCAAATTCTTGTTCTCGCTGTATATATTAAGGATCATTTCTCGTCAACCTCTTGTGATCAAGTTGCGTCGTTGAATTTCAAAATGACTGAGGCTCGACATAAAGACGCCCGTCACCATCCAACATAATTCCACGAGCCTCGATACCTATCTGGTAGCACTCGAAGGCTACTATGTAAACTTGGCTAACGCAGAATAATGGACCTGGCCCGGGAGGTTGTTTTTATATATCTCCAGTCACACTCCTATCGGCGATCGCGATGCCCATCATGTGTTCTCTCAAAAGCCTTGCAACTAAAATCGTGATCCAAGTCATCGATTCTATAGACGACACACCATCTGTCAGTCGGCTTTCTCGTACATCGCGACATCTGCATTTTGTCGCAAATCCCATTCTCTATCGTAGAGCGATAGCAGACCCTACAGCCCTGGCATGGGCCGTGTCTCATGACAGGTCCGATGTCGTGCATGGAATACTGGGCCACCAGGCTGATCCGCACCGCTTTGCTGCTAGCTTCGAGCTGAATATACTCCTTCATCAGGCATTGATGCACGGAAGTTTCAAGACAGCCAACGCCCTGCTAGATTTGGGTGCCGATGTGGTATACAGCAGTGGCTCTCAACGACGCTCGTCTTGCCAGAAAACGACCGATTGGCTTGCAAATGGTACTTGCGCTCTGCTCGGCTCACTAGTGCTCGCGACAGGCAGTCGCTTCCACATCAGATTCTGGTATGATCCCAATTACGTCTACTCATCAGAGCGGCAGTCCTGGGCCTGAAAAAAAATGGCAATGGAGAAGATTCTTAAGAAGCTTGCTGCACCAATTTGCCAGGACCAGAACATGGTCGCATGTGAACCAAACCTCGCTGAATAGCAGAGAGAGCAGTGAGGCGAATTCCTACATCGTCGCACAGGCTTGGTATAATGCTCTTGGCGAAGAAGTACCGAGTCTTTTCAGGTCAAAAGTGGAATTCCTCATTCGACATGGCATCGATCGTACGAGAGCTTGGTCGTGGTTGAACGGCTTACAAACACCAATGCAGTTTATCCTGAAAAAACTTCATCGTTCCTGCCGGTACGCGACCGATGGCAGCTCGCCTATACCTAAAGCCCTGTATTTCATGGACTTTCTTGCGTCTTGCGGATGTCTGCGCTGGCCAGAGGTCACTGACATGTCTATGGACCAAATTGGAAACACTCATCTCTTGACAGCCAATTTTGATGGAAATGAGGCCGGCTCACGAGAGTTGAATTTCATTTTCTCTGATACGGATGTCTTAATGCGGCCGCTTCAACGAGCGCTTTGTCAGCATATTCTTCAGCAAGTGCTTCCTCCCGTAGAACGCCGGATGGCTCCGCTTCGGTTGCCCTTAGCTATTGTGCGTTTAGATGACTTGTACGAGGCATGGGTCTTCGGATCAAATGATCCCGCGTCTATATTCTGTTTGTTACGCGTCGCCGCAAGCCCCGAAGTATCAGGTTTTCACCTGGAAAAGAGTGATTAATACGGCGCGACGAACATGGTTTGCGGAAAATAATGATGTGGAGCAGGGTCACTTGACGCGAGGGATATAAGCGTGAAATGAGTTACAATATCTGAGAAACATATCAAAGGCTTCGTCAGCTAGCATGTGCCATCTTCGTATTGGACAGTCCTTTTTCCATAGTGGCGAATTGTCAGGGAATTTACGTACCATTTTGGCATTTTTGTAAATTATGCAACGGCTTCTACTGTCTTTAAGTCATTCAACCTTCAATAACTCTGCTGTTAGAGTTCTTGAACTTATATCATATTGTCAAAAACTTTTTCTGAAAGAAAACCCAACAAGATGAAGGGTACTCAAGCATAGTTATATCTATACAGTTCTACTACTGAGATGAACCAAGATAACCATATAGATATTCACGAAGTAGCCATATATACTCAGAAGACCGATCAACCTGGATCATATCGAGTTCAACCTTTGAATCTTATTCCACATATCAAAAGAGAATTAAAGGAACAATGCGGAAAATAGGACCCCCACGATCAGATATACAATTTGAAACGTCCTCAGTAACTATATGTATAAAGTGCCCTAAGTGATAAGCTGAGCGGTCTCAACAGCTATCGATCCACATACATCTCAAGCGCTTAGAACATAGAAATACATTGTCACAACGATCAAACAAAAGACAAGCCATACTAAGACATAGACAAAATAAACACGCAGAAAATCAGAGTTATCGTAGGAGATCATGGGTACGTAAAGCAAACCTACGTTAGCCGTAGAGGCTTCCATCTCCGCAAGTAAACTGCGTTCTCCCACAACAGAGACGGCCATCAAGATTCCCTATGATCTGGCCTATGTTCCGAACGTTAGTTGGATGAGTCAAATAGAAAGACAACAAGGAGCAAATCTATACCTAGATCAATGGTACTGGACACCTCGTTGCTGTCTTTGTCGGGCTTGCAATTGCAGGAGTACTTGCTCCCGTCAATAGAACAACCGGAACAGGAATCTTGAAAGTTCCCGCTGGTACAAAACGTCAGTTCAAACGGTACCATAGTCACGTTCAACCGGCTTACTTCTCATTGGCTTTGAGTGTGCCCCATTGTTCCAGAGACACTTGCTGAGCTTCAGTCGAGACCACACGAATCTTGAAGTGGTGTCGTTACACCCAGCTACCATCTCGTAGTCCGACACCGCCCAGTTCTGACATGCCCGAGGAAAATCAGCAGATTTCTAGCCAGTTTCTGGGTTTTTAGGCCCTGCATTTCTGGAAACATTATGAGCGTACACGGCAGCGACGCAATACAGCAAGATTGAGAAAGACTTTGCAAACATGTCTGGAGGTCTGTCAGACGTATGCTCGCAGGGCAACTGTCGGTGCAGACAGTCTGGCTTAAATACTTCAGAACCTAATTTGATGAGTGCGTTTGTTTGACGTGTATAAACCGAGTTTTGTATGGAACGATTACTCATTGTGTGACATTACCAATCTCGAAGCTAGGGGTTGCTTTGAGTGATTGATATTATCTGAGGGATCCACATTGGCTGGCATGGTTTTAGATCATGCTAACGAATGGGAGTTTGCGGTAAATCCCGGTGTCAATGAACTAGTGACTGAGTTTGTTTCTTATATTAGTGATGGTTTTATAGGAGAGCCTTTGTAGGTTGGAAACGTAGTATCTTAAGAGTGCATGACGTAATGACATCTCCAATCAATATCAGCCAGGCACATATCAATCTTCCGGAATAGAGTCGCGAGGTATGCTGCGTTGGATACGGATGATCTCTGTTCAGGCTCGCGACGCGGTTCCCGAAGAATCTTCGAATTCGCCTTTGTAGCGGCGAGAACCATCGCTTGAATTCCTAGAAAGAAATGTCGGTCGCCATCACAAAGTGACGCTTTCTATCATGCTCCGCCCAGATGCCTGTTACTTTTATATACGATCGTGATGAGTCAAGGGTGTATTATTCATCAAACCTCAAGGCTACCATTTATCGAGACGGAAAAATTGCTGATTGATCCAGTTATTTTACCCTGATGTAACGAGACCGAAAGACTGTGGTAGAGTCATTTCACTGTGTGGTCACTTTAAGTGAATGCTACTCAGGGTCTAAGGTACCCACCAATTACTAACGGAAAGAGTGACGGACAACGAGCCGCAACCACAATAGAGCCCTCCGAGGGATTTTTCGGGGAAGGTTATCGTTTTCATTTTAAGTACCGGAAAGCAATACACCGACCATGGTCCATAGCCGCTCATGAAATGAAGCACAATGAAGTAAATTGTCTGACAGCAACTTGAGGATGAAAGTAAGATGCAGTTGCGTTTGAGGCCCCGATGAACATTCCCAAAAAAGTAATTGACTCACGTAACCGCAATCCAACTCAGTGGGTTGTGTCACGTTATGCCCTGGTTACGGAAGGTCGGTAATAGAATTCTTCCAAATCTATCAATTGACATCAGCGTTAACCAAGCAGGCTATGTCAGCGCGGGAAACCTATACATCGCTAGACTCTTAAATGCCAGGGCATGATTCATCAGGTATGGTAGGATTCATCGTAGGGTCTGGGGCCATCACCAGCAGCGTTGGAAGATGAGCCTAGCTTCCCTACTAGCGATGCCAGGGCAAAACGGCGAAAGTTGATATCTGTGGACATTTTGAAGCTGCAAGGCTCTGTGAAAGCAGTGGACGGTCACATCTGCACTACTTGATTTCTGTCTTGCACGAGATGGTTGGACCTTTTGCTCGTTCAAGCATGGCGATGATGAAGCCGTCACAGAAACCAGCTGGCCCATGTGTCGAACCTGCCCATAGCCCTTTGACAGATCATCAGTATGCTTAGCAATGATATCATGAATGCGGATAGGTGTGGTTGTTTTACATAGAGTGATCTGTTGGGCCTTTAGTAGATCTATATAAACGAGTGGCATCTATCCCTTGTAGGGCAATCCTAGCCCGACTATGAGGTTAACTGTGTACTGACTGTATGCGGTGAGTTTCGCCGAAGCGAGGGTAAGATCGTGCGAATTAGTCACGGCCTACGCCCACAATGAACCAATCCTGTTCCGACTGAGTCCATAGTGTCGAGAAGTGTCAGTTTTTCCCCCTCCCCCCCCCCCCTCTCTCCAATCATTTACACCTTCTAACTCGAAAGGTAAGCTCCTCATTAGTTTGCCATCCGTAGCTATGATGCAGGTGACGGTATTGAGACTCATAGTCGCGCAATTTATCCATGTATCTTTGTAATTCCTATTCGAGTCTTGGAAGATCTTGGTTTCCCCTCATCCATGAACTCTCATAGCGAGTGTTATGTTCAATTCATTGCCTGTTGGCACCCAGCCAATGACTCATTCTTTACTCAGGTCTAACCTGCATGAGTTTGAAACGTCGAGCTCAACTCTTTGTTATGACTGCCGAGAGGGCCCTATCGATAACATATTGAGAACTCTAGACCAGGAGTCCTTAAACTCGTGGAATGTCGAAGAAACTAGACCGCACATTCAACGGCGTAGTGCATTTCAACGAGCAGAATTGCTGTGTAAATGTGCTTCAGAGTAGCTGAGCTTCCCGTGAATTATGGCACATACACATCTTATAGCTTGGCAGCTCAATCATGTTCATCAATTCACCCTGGCGTGGACTATTTTGCGCAGTTTTGGAGTCCCGCCATCCGAAGTTACGTCGTCGCTGTGGATGCGTGCTATCGGCGCCTGTTGGAAACGGGTATTCGCCTTGTTCCCAGAAAAGCTATGCCATCTTTCACCGAGAGAAGATAGTCCTCGGGTTGCCGGGCTGAAAATAGCAGTCGCTTACACACTTGGGCCAGGAATTATTATCCGAGGAATAGGGATAGCCAAGTTTAATACTAATTGCAACACCACGCCAGAGGTTGCGATGAATAGACGAGATGATGTCTCGAACATCCAGAGTAGCCCCCATTGAGTAACGAGTCTTTCCATGTTCTTTCTGTACAAAATGACCATGATTGTTGACGTTTATGCCTGAGCTTAAATTGACGTTTGCAAAGTTTCACCGAGTCTCTGCCTAGTCCATCACAATAACAGAGCCACCCGACAGGCTAGATGTGAGCTTGCTAGGGCCGTCTTCTGTAAGAGCAGCGGTACTGATAGACCGCAGCTTGGATATAGGGACACTCCTCACGTTTGCGGCCCTGTCTTCTATGTTAAAACGCCAAAAGCGGTATTCATGCGCACCGTGATCTAGGCTGTTCAGCTCTTGCGCCAGCTCATCAAGTCGAGATACAATCCCCAAGTCGTCTGCAGCAAATTGCCAGAGATGAAGTGCATGACACGCCAAAGGATATCTAACAAAAGCGTCAGTACCTGGAGGTCTTGCGAAGAGGTATCACATACCCAACACCAAGAAGGTAGGCTACTACAGCTGGGATGAACAAGACAGTAACGTCGTCAGATATGTTCTGCAGCATGGACGAAAGCGCATCCACAGCTGAGGAAACGAGATATTCAATATCCTCGTTTCTTACGTCGCTTAGCTCAGTAAATTTGGATTTGGTTACTGAAGGAGATTAAACGGCTGAATCATATCAGAGGGGCATGGCAAATTTACCTTTCAAAGCGGAATAAATAATCAAAGAACTAGGTCCGACTGTTTGATAAAGTCTATCTATGATTTGATTGACAATTTTGTGCTTTTTGGCTGTCATGTTCCGGTTGGCGTTTCGGTCTTTCGTGGTTGCGGCTTTCGATGATGTTGGTGCAAGGCTTGCAAGCAACTTTGGCAGGTTTTGGGGCAATTCTGAGCGTAGGTTGGTCAACATTTCTCCTGCGTCTAGCACGGATTCTCGGAAGACCTGGATGTTGCCCGTCAGTAGATCGGAATCAAATTTCAAATCCTTGGACCGATCATTGACGCCCGTTTTTGTACTTGTGAGCAGGTCATTCGGCTGTGCGCCATCGTCATGATTCCTTTTCCTGCAGTAATCCACAAGGCGACCGAACCGTATTGTACTTGGAGCCCTGACGGGTTTCAGCAAAAGCTCAATTCCATGCACGACTCTTTGCACAAAACACGCAGTCGAAGCGGCGCCACTGACTTGGGCGATTGTCAACTGCACTTCCTTTCGCTGCTCAATGGTCGCAATCCCACACAGTTCATTAGGGACTTCTCGATCCCCTCTGCCACTTCTTTGATCTCTTTCCAGTCTCCATTGCGTCTGGCCCTCTTCACCGGTCTACTGCTTTTCCGATGTGACGTGAATTCGCCAGGCAGCATGAACAGGCTTCGTTTGAGACGCGAGTGCAGTCTGTCGACATGTTGCTGGTCACAATCCTCTCTAACCTCACGCTGACTGCACTCGTCTTCCAAAAAAACCTTTGTAGAATGAAGCTTCATGAATGCTTCAAACTGTTTATTTTGACAGACGCTTGGGATCGAGTTGTCGTTGGTCAAGGGCGGAAAATGTTCGCGTCTGCATTCAATCAGCAAGCCATGCGCCGATATCGGTTTGCTACCCTGACCTTGCTTTAATCCAATGCCCTTGTCGAAAGCTGTGACAATGAATCTGATCGATGTCGTGATCGAACTTCTCAGCCTCGCCGCTATTGCAACAAGCAATTGACTTGATGCTGCTGGACACGAATTGTTGGCTACATAGCCGAAAGTATGTGAGGTGCACTTTCGCCCACCTATGGTGACCATCGATGTATAAGAAGTCGATAAGAAAGGTCACTTGAGATTCAGGGAATTCGACTCTAGTGACGCCTTCTACAATTTTGCGAATATCCGCCATGGTGGTGTTGACTTTTGGTTGAAGCAGCTGCAGACGGAGACCGAGGTGCGTCCAGGCTATGACGGGGACGACGGGCAACAATCAGTTGATTGACTCGGATATCCTATCATCTTTAGTCAGCAGCTATGTCCGGATAGCGGGGCTCGGCCAGCAGTCGACACGCTCCGGCTGTTAATCCGAAGAGACCCACTTTTCATTGCAAAGCTCCGAATACATTTGCCTGGCATCCTCATGTAAGGCACCACTCATACGACCGACGGTCCTCCACAACCGATCACTTGATACGGCCAACTTGTCGTATAGTAGTGAAGTATGTTAACAGACGTAGGGCCTGCGAGGCCAATTGATAGTGCCGTAGTCGGGATAGCTTGAGGGAAGCTATGTCCCTAAGTCGTAACGTAAGGCGGGGCTGTGGTGATCAATAGTAGGTTTGTCAAGAGCGTTCTTCTCAGTGGGGATAGCTGAAAGAGATCATAGGATCTGATACTGTAGGTTGATTGCTGAAGAAGCTTTGAAAAATATGTTCTCGAGCCCGGCTCGAGTTCGTTCTATATCCAAGTCTCATTCCCCAAATCATCATATGTGGCGTCTTCTTCACCGAACCGACGTCCGTTCTACTCATCCACGAGCGTACGTCCCCCTTACTCATGAGCGCTCGTTCTTTATCTTGTCGTGTGATATCGGTCACGTGACTTATTTGATGTTTATCCTTGCTGAAACACACTTCCAGGGACGGGCCACAGCTTACTTACATTCCTTTCTTTCCAGCAGCAGGTGCGTTAATGAATGTTAGATAAGGAATAAAGGTCAGGCCCATCCCAGTACATTCGTTACAATGAGTGTAATACTACACCTATGAGACAATAGGGTCTGACACAAGTATGACTCAGTATTCTAAGGATATGCGAGTATAAGAGGACTACCATCAATAAAACATCCCATTGGCCCCTAACCTCACACTCGCGGCCCAACAGCGGTATAAAGGATTCACCATTGTCTTGCGTGACTGGTGCAGAGGTTGAGAGACTCTCAAAGCCTGAACTGTCGCATATCGGACGACGTATAATTTGGGCCAAAAAAGCCGATTCATGACCTAATTTAGCGAAATGAACTGATTTCCGAGGAAAATCACATGGCTTGGTACAAAAAGCGAATTACGACCAGCTTTGAAGTGCGCCATCTATGTATTGGACAACAATCCTTAGTCAGAGGTGGGGGACAGAAAGTACGTACTGGTGGGGATATTCATCTTTCAACCGGCCCAGTCGCCCTCTGGCGCAGCCCAGCCACCTCTATCGGTCAATGAGCCACATTACATAAGTCGCGATGCAGCGGTAAGTTGCCCCGCACGACAGCACGGGCCATGAACCGCAACACCCAACAGCCGACACTTGGATGATATTTAATTCGACACTCAGCAAAGCTCACCACCACGATGTTGGCGACGCGATCCATCACGACGTCGCAGCCACGCCTCGAAAAGGTCAGGACTCGCCGACGACCTCCTCAACCCAACCGAGAATGCGCGTCTTCTTCTTTGGTTCGAGTCAAGTCACTGGCGTGCGATTCTCAGCACAAATCAAATGACCACAACCACAAATTGTTCGCAGGAAAACGTTCAGGCTTGGCTCAACGGTCTATGGCCTTGCCCAGAGTCTCCAGATTCGCCCTCCACCGCAACTCGCATCGTGGCAGACAAGAAACTCGTAAAGCGCCGTCTCACAGATGCAGGTAACTTGAAGACTTCATCGAAGCGGCTATGCCGTCTTACCCCTCCGACGTCATTGACCATGTCCGTCTCGCCAACGAAACGGTCACACGACACACCTGACTCCTCCAGCATCGCCTCGAACCAAGATGACGACCAAACGCCTAGAAGCAAAAAGATTCGAATGGTCCCTGATTGGGGAAATGCACCGCTTACTGCATCCTCGCGCCGTAGTGGCTCCGTCTCTCCAAAGAAGCTTGCACGTACTTGGGCTGTACCGAATGCTATTGCACGACAGTTTACGATCAGAGAGGACATTCCAGTCTCGCTACAAAGTCTGTGGAAGGATATTGGTCGATATGATAGAGGAATCGGCATCATTGGGTTGGCAGAAAAGGTATGGTTCTCTCATCTACCATGTCCCCTTGTCGCTTTGCTTGCTTGCTGACCGAAGATTACACTAGGCTTCGATTGAAGACGCCCAAACATCGCATCCAGAGTATGAGCAAGACGTCTTTGAAGACTTCTTCTACGAGCAGGAGATAGTGTCCCGAGACGGCTCGCGCAGTGCTCTTGGCCCCACGCCATCTGTTTCCGCAGTCTTGGACATCATGGAACGTGGCATCAGCTGCCGCAATGAGCAAATGGACGAAGCCGGCTGGAACTCAATTGTCCACAGCCGTATCCTCGAACTCGCCTTCTCTGGGCTGTGGTCTAAGACTGACAATCTTGTTGCATTTGTTCCTTGGTAAGACTCTTCGAGACCTTCGTGTTGAATACTTCTGACATGTTCTTGCCATCAGCACGTCCGCCAAAATTATTCCCGAATATGCCGATCCCATGAGCCGCAAGGTCGACTTTTGCGCATGTATCAGACCTGATGCCTTGTCAGCCATCGCCATTCAGTCTATTCGCGACCAAGATACACTGGCTAGTCAATCCATCAACCACACCGACTTCCCACCACTCCAGGCGCGACCGATCGCTCTCTCCATCGAGACTACGATTCATGGGGAGGGAATGGACAACGCTGAAGCCCAGCTGGTCACATGGCATGCCGCGCAATGGCGGTCTTTGGGCCGGTTGCTTGGGCGCACGGAGCCCAAGATGCAGCTGCCAGAGTTCCTGCCGGGAATCATCATCCAGGGACACGAATGGGTATTTGTGGCGAGTACCAAACGAAGCGATGAGGTGGTAAGTTCGACATCTCCACTCCATTCGACGGCGTTGCTTTTGAAGCTAATACTTTGAGCAGACATTATGGACTAGTCAGCACATTGGCTCTACGGCGAAGGCCACAGGCGTATCAGATTGTGTGTGTGTTACACTACCTGAAGCGATGGATTGAAAAAACGTATTGGCCGTGGTTCAAGCAAGCCATACTAAGGTTGCCAGAAGAGACGTGAAGAATCAACACAGTCAGTCAGCCACCAGCATTGCGTAACAATCCCCATGCCGCTGCAACTTGATGCGTGCAAGGCCTTAATCCACGGAACAGACAGTGCCCAAGGAGTAACGGCCCATGCAATTATCAGGGGGCGGCGTTGATGCGCTTGGCGGATCGAATCTCTTGGCCGCTTAGATACTTCTTAAGCCGGTATGCCGGAGCGATCTCACGGCATTCTCGTAAGTAGCGAAGAAGAAGCACAAGCACAACATACATAAGGCTGTCATTGTTTCAAGACATTCTCGTTTCCACAAGGGATATCCTACTCCAATATACGGCGCTAAAACGCGTCAAGATATGCCTAGATATGTATACCCATTTGCCACGCTGGTCCCTTGCCTGATCCCTTTGCCCCCTTTCCGTCTGGGCAATCTTGATGCGCTCCGTTGCGGCTTCCGTAGGCTATCACCTCACTCAAGTAGGCCTCATGTTAACTTCGGCCTCCCAACAGCAAAAATTGAATTTGCTTTCCGTTTATCCTGTGCATAGACGTATGTGGATCTCTCTGCTGACTGGGTACATATTGAGACCCATCGAGCACATTCATCGATGACCTTTACAGCAGAGCCAGAATCGCTTCTTACCGTATTCTCAGTTTAGACCCATGCTGCGTACTGCAGAGACTGGACTTGCCATTCTCGTTTGTGAACATTGGGATGTACAATATGGCTCTAGCTCACGAGCATAGCGTAAAAGCAATCTCTGGCTTCGTTTATGGAGGTCGTTAAGAAGGTCCCGTTAGGACCTGATTATCTATGTGTCCTGTCAACAATCGGATCTGCAAACATCTGTGCACAAGAGAACTTTTGTGGATGGATATGGAAATCGATTTCAATCTTTATCGTACTACAGTCATCGCAAGCGCAGTGAGCCTGCGGACAAGCAGCAGAAACGGTTGAGCATTCTCTCTTTCGATGCATACAGTGGGCGGCACAGCGGACTCAGATGCTTCAACAGACGAAATCGCGGAGAGAAACCTGCCATACCTGGAGGAAAGTACGCGTCCGACCCAACGGCTTGGTCGACGAGCGTAGATGTCAGTGAGACGATCAAGTTCGCCATGAGCACGGAAAGACCGGATGCACAAATCAACTAGCGGCAAATCGACCACAACTAGTTTTCAACCTCGCCACACTAATTTACAAACCAACCGACGTCGCTCCACGTACCCTCGTGTCATTGACGGCAGGACTAGCGTCGGCCGCCGTCGATAGCACGCCGGACACTTTGAGAGACACCTTTAAGATGGCCTGTTACTGACCCCACGAGCAAAAGTAACATCGGCATACAAAACCGAAAATGGCACATACGGAGACGGACCAGACTTGTACGGGCTTCTTGGACGCAAGGATACGAACGAAGCTGGACAATATGTAAATTAACATGCGAGCCCTAAACAGCTTCACCGGGGCGTAATAGAGTATGTACACATATGAAAGGTGGTATGCACCCGTGTAGCGTGCCAAGCCTATTCTTATCTTTTCCTCTTCTTCTTTCGCGCGGGCGTGGTATAAAACAAAATTTGGAGTCTGATCATAGTCGGCAGACAACAGTTGTGGGAAACACGTTCATCTAATAAACCCGGAGAGTTGTTTAGTCGGATACGAATACATGCACGGAGTGCAGCAGACCGGATCTGGTGAATTGACAAACAGCATAGTCAACGAATGGAGTTCTTACTCCTGGTGATTGACCAGTCGGAGCCGTGACGGCGACTCTTTGAGGCGGCTGCTGACAACTGCACGTTAGACGACATGAGGGCGTCAGCCTCCTCTCACTTATCTGGACGTTTTGCAGAAGCACTATTCGGAGAGCTTTCTTGTTGGCGGTAGTCGGTTACCGCACGTGCTTATACAACATATCTAACGACTCCTTTCCCAAGGACTGGGACTTCAAACCCTGACCCCACCTACTGGACTGGCGACTACCGGCCGCCGAACATTGCTGTTGTCTCGTTTGTCCTTCCCCTCGAATGATCAAGTAGTCTACAGGTTCATCTATAGATGGTGGCGTTCACAACTTTCTACAGAGCACTCTTCGATCTAAGTTTGCCGAGTCTCATTGCCGTGATCAACTGTCGTTGAAACACTTCTTTACCTGTCTTCAAGCAAGCATTTCAAAAGAGCATTGGCGAGTTGCGTGAGCATACTAAGTGTCACGGTAAAAAAAAAGTTCACATGTCTTATGCAATAGGTAACTGATCACGCCGTCTTCTGCCTTCTCGGCACCAAGGAACTCGGCCTTGTAATGTCCGAAGGTGTTGGGCAGTCTCAGCGGATACGGAAGCCGCATCGGCTGCAATGCGTGTGTGTGGCACGGTGCACTCAATCATTGGCATATGGCTGGGGTCCGATTAACCACATCATCCATCCTTGCATCGGCGCCTGTTGCCTGCGCCTTGTGCCAGATCAGGCGGCCTCCATACCGTCGGGGATCCCATTACTGACCTCCGGTTGGTGGGCGATAGGTCGGACATGGGGTGATAGCTGATCCCGAACAGCAAAAGCAAGTACCTCAGGCCAGCAGTTGATCCAGCCAAGCTGCAAGCTCGTCCAACCAATTCACGACTCTGCTACATTGGAGGATCGTTGCATCGACTGGGAAGTGTGCCTTGTCGTGGGTTCAACGTGCCTCGTTGAAGCTATTTCGTTGCTGCCTTGCTTCTACATACTGCGTAGACAATACAGCCCACACAACAGGGGCAATTATGGGGCAATGACAAGACAATTTGGCCATTAGTACGGAGTACCAACTGGAGCCTTTTCCGCGCCGGCAAGGATCACACAAGCATTTGCCCGCACCGAAGAATGCCCCACGCAAGGCCCAAGGCCGGACGACAAACCGGCGTTGACGGAAAACAAGGTGGGGCGCCGGAATTAGCGTATGTTTAGTGCAGGTTGTTGGACACATCGTACGTAAACCCGCGGTCGTTTCGTCCAGCGTGGAAGTGCGGCCTAACAAACCTTCGTTGCAAAAAATGTTCAGATGAAAGACGGGCAGCGTACGGAGCTCAAGGCCGGCCGAATGATACGAGCATTACCATATTCACCTTAGTCAACATGTCGACTTGATTCAGGCCCCTTTTTGCTTGGCAACACGCGCTGCCTTTATCTGGACCGGGATGTTGGCTTGCGCTTTGGATCCCCCTCCCTTGCCATCATTTGTCGCAGCAGGCAAAAGCCCAATCAGTCAACTCAAGACAGCGTCCATGCCTTGCGTTTGTCCTGTTCTTCTTACACAGCAAAGGTATTCGCGTTCTCGTGCTACTACTGCATTTGCGGAAGGTGATGCGCCACGCTCTACTACCCATTTGCGCTTTCCAGCTAGGCCTATGTTGGTTGATTATCGGCGCTGAATAGTACGCCTTCGTACCACGGCCTTCTACTATAAGAGCCCCTCGAAGTCTGATTTAGCATGGTAGGTTTCGAGATTTAGTTAATGAGATATTTGGTTGAAAATTCGCGATGCTTCTTAATTGACGTCGTCGGTTGTCTGCTTCTGTGGGTGTCGTTAGTGATTTGGTGAGGAGCGATCTATCACACTTGAACGGCCAGTCATACTCACGGTTACTTTTGCCGTCAGTGTTGTGTTTCTCGTTATTAACCAAACTGCTCAGCACCCCCGACCACATGACAACTTGTCCCACACTGCAATAGTCTAAGATGCCGCCAACGGCCTGCGTCCTTACGGTCCCACTCCAAAGCTTCGTGCATTCAGCGTCATGGCAAGGATGAACAACAATTCGCCGCGTTGCGTCCGTTGCTCAGAATATTTCTTCCTCACACCATATATCCAAGCTTTGGTTGCGAAGGAAGTCTAGATACAGGACACACGCATTGCTGCTTTGAGCTCCAAGCAGACAAGCATAGCGGCGGCGCCTTTGCAACCCCCTGATGAACCATGAATGGCTGGCGTTGGGTCCGAGGATAACAGAACATAACATAAGACAACATAATCTAACATGATACAACATAACATGATACAATACAACAATAACAGTGAGGATGATCACAGAGAACGACGGCCCAACCATGAGGAATGGAGCTACATATAAAGCTAGTCAACAGCATCTCGTTCATCGCTTTAAGGAAACTTAGAAACAGATTATTCAGTCACCAACACCAAATTACGAGTGACTATGGCAAGTCGGACGTCTAGTGGCAGGAGATGGTACCAAGGCGTGCATCATTCACAACCACAGCAACCCCGGCAACAGAACGAGCAACGGCACCAGCAAAGCCCGCCACAACAACAGCAACAACATCAACAGCAACAACATCAACAGCAACAACATCAACAGCAACAACATCAACAGCAACAACATCAACAGCAACAATATCAACAGCAGCAACAGCAACAGCAGCAACAGCAAAGCCAGGGCGGGTTTTCTAGGGATCAGCAGAATCAATTAGATCGCCAGACCATGCAGATTTTCAAGATGACGGTGGCATCGGTGACGCAGTGTCTGCAAAATACCGTTAATGACGATAACTTCATGAGGGGATTTCGAGCTCGCATGGTAGGCCCCAAAGGCGTGCGCGGTCTTCTTGACAAGCAAGGACCGACGGAACACGCTACACCCGGCTTGGACAGGCTAGAAAAACAGTTCAGGGCTGGGGTTGGATTGATGGAAAAGCAGGGTGGGCAGGCGGAATCTGTGTTGAAGGCCATGGAGGAACTGGTAGCCCTGTTGGGTCGAAAAATAGACAGCTGGGAGGCTGTGCTCAGCGGTTTCGCGGCATCATTTGCTGCTGACCAAAAAGATGGGAAGAGAGGGAAAACGAAAACGCAAGCCAGTGACACCACTCAAAGGAGGTCAGGGCGTATTGCAAAGCAACGCACGCAGGGCGGGAAACGCGTTAGGTGACGGCGGCGCACTGGCGTTTTTGGAGGTCTTGAATGAGTGGTACACGTATCGCCCTTTACAGTACAGAAGACAAGGATGATAAGCAAATCGACCCACTGTTCGAACGATCTCGTAGTCCGCATGGAAGTCTGTATTCAACTGGACGTTTTCCGTTGCAGGTCACGCCAGGCACGGGCTGAACATTAGTAAAACTCAAGATCCATCTTGTTCTTCATTGGCGCTCCTCCCCGTTCTTCGTCTAGCCATTGCTTGCGACATGTTTCCTCGCGAGCCCCGGATTTCAGGGCAGCACTTGATGTACATCCGAGAATTACACTGAGTCTCAGCGTCGGCGATTTTAAGTCAGATATGCATTGTTTTAGTAGGGATGACCCGGGTTGGCCAGTCCTTGTTCTGACTGTCCCATTTGCTCCTAAATGTATGGTGGACACTGAACATCGGTGATGAGGTGGCGCCATTGACCCAATCAGACGTCGTCAAACGTGACCAGAGACTAAAAAGAGCGTGCCGGCGCAAAGCACTTGGCTGTCATGTCCATGAATGCCTGTCGCCCGCTCCTATGATCATCGATGGAAGCCACAAAGCCATTGGGGCCAGATAGGACCTGGCCTCGCCCTGAGATACGCCAATCCTATTCTTTCCAACGTCGTTTCCCGAAGACGCTGGCTTGGATTTCAAGCCAAAGGCATTTGCAACAGGCGGCTGCCGTCAGGATCGTTTAGCCGAGCGATCTTCCAATCCCGCCCCCTTTGCTCCGAGACAACCGCACCGAGCCGACCGCAGCAACACCATAGCGACGTCGATAAATCGGCACGTGGTGCACGGTCCTAGCTCCAGTTGCTTCACCGACGAAATGGTGTGGTCCATGGACGTATCGGCTTACGAAGGCCGCGCGATATGGCGTGCCTTTGCTGAGCATCATGAAGACTGAGGAGTTCTTCATACGTCTGCATAACATGTCTGCGTCCGAAGATTTGTAGCTGTTCTACGCGATGAGATATAGCCAGCGGCGTCGAGGTCTGGACTTTCGAGCTTGCGGGCATCTCGTTCCTCGCGGCTCCAACAAGCCGACGTTACTCCTGCATCAATAGCTAACGTGTTGCGGCTAGATCATGGCCACACGGCCACACGGCCCACACGGCTGCCCGGATCAGGATTGCATCAAATAAGCGATGTTACCCTACAGCCGCTTGTCGACAGCCGCAGTTTCCCCGGCACGAGTGAAAGGACACATTCATCGGGTGGCCATCGCTTAATCCATACAATCGAGCGTCCAGCATCGGCATCCTTCGGGCATGTGACAGTGGTCCGGTTATCCGGTTGACCTCCCCGTAACGGCCGCCGCAACCACGGAGACTGGGGCACTGAACTGTCTGCGCTCCTTACCATGAGATTCTTCCACATTAAGCGCCTACAGTACAATCGTTCGAATGTTCTTTTGTCATAAGAGCATTGCTCTTCGCTTCGCAATCGCTTCCGTCCGCATTAGACTCTTAGGGTCGCGGATCGGTTGATTTCGTGACTGCGAAGACCGAGTCATGAGCAATCATCCTGGACCAAATCTAGAGTTTTTCAGGTGAAGCGTTGGGTTCCTGATGCAACCGTTTACGCGGGAAGACGAATGCGACCAACACGACTATCTAGCGCCTGTTACCCCAGATGGCCAGGCAACCACATAACATAACCGCTCCCCCCCCCCTCTCACCGTTCTTTCCCGAATTGGGCGATCGTACGTCCGGATCGACCGTCAAGAACATGCGTTCGCTTCGTCCAGGCGTGGCTACAATTCAGCGGTGGTGCAGCACTACTACGTACGGAGAAGGTGTTGTTCCCCGGTCCCTGGGACGCGTGCTCCCAACTGTTCGGAAGACGCATGCTGCGATGTATGCGATGCGCGTTGTGCAGATAGTCGAGGTCAGGTGAGAAGCCAAGTCAACGACACTGACGGCTGCGAGAATATTCGAAAGACGTCTCATGCTGGCGACGATGTCTCTGCCAAAAGTCGACACACTCGTTCGCAAGCACTATTGCTTTTAGCAAAAGTTCAAGATTTGCCATCTCGGCGGCCGTTTCCTTCATCACATCTGGCCACGGTGCCCACGGTCTTGTCCGTCTTCACCAACAACAGCACGACTCGCCTGCCACCTGCTTGCTTGCCCCCCTGGTGCCCATGTCCCGGCGTAGTGGTTCGTAATATCAGTCTTCACACCCAAGACATAACCAACGAGCATGTTCTTGCCCATCACGTCCTGCACTGAGTTCTAACATAACAATGGTCGATGAGAATACAGTGTCGATCAGGGAAAGATTGGTTTTCCTCCAGTCCGGATTCTTGAGCGGCGCAGTTCTAATTATATGTTTGTTGCGGTTGTGCACGTATAACTTGGGCGTCATGGAGCTCACTACGGAGGTCATCGTAACAAGTTGTGTTTGTTGGAGGCTTAAGAGCGGTTTTCGGACAGCATGGCATGCTTTCCAGTCAATCAGCAAACACTTGTGCCGGTGTCTCGAAGTACGCCGCTTTCCACTAGGTCGGCAGATCCGTTCGTCACCTCACCTCAGCCATGGTCTTCAGCCTGGCAAGCGCCGTCTTTCCAAGATACTTACGGCACCACCGACCGACAAGACTCGTTTCCCTGCTATGAGGCACCTCCCGACACTTCTGCACCACCGGGTGTCGACCGCGTCGACAGTTCTGTCTTTCCCGACGTTGTCGAGCCCAATCAGTACCGAGATGGGATTCTCGACCCAGCGTTAGTCGACTTCCTCCAACTTGACGTTGGCGAACAGTACCTCATCGAGCGACGCCTGCAACGGCAACCCTGGAAGGCACTTACGGCTGGCTTCCAGCAGCGCTTCGGCGTTTCGGCATCCTCGACGCAGTCTGCTCTAATGATGAGGCTAAGCCGATTGAAGAAGGAGCACCCTCAAATCCGCTCATTGTTCGAGGAAGCGTCTCTGAAGGGACATTCCAGGAGACCAAAAGAGCGGGGTCACCGTCGAGAGACGCAGTCGCAAGACAGGGATGTACCAGCAGAAGCGACGAGAGGGGCTGAACACGTGTATGGTTCGCAACACAGAGGAAGTGGGAGACGTGGGGAACCCCCGAACAGACCACAGAAGTCTTTCTATGAGGGCAGGGGAAACCGCGTAACACAAGGTGAAGCCGCCGCGGCTGCAGACATGGTACTCATCTTTGTCAGCCAGCCAGAAGTGCGAGAATGTATGGCCGAGGCGGAGTACAAGTCGCTTGTCAGGGTCAGGAGCCGTCTACGGGAGCAGGCAGATGTACGGTAATGGAGGTTCATGCGAAGTTGCAGAGCGGCTTACAACGCCGGAAGCAAGCTACCAACCGATGCATCGTAGTGAAAAAGAAGGCCCGGATCTTTCGTCGATGACTATTCAACCAGCTCTACTGCAATGAGGTCTGGGGTGCTTGGTATTTCTGTGTTCCTTGAATATATCTGATGATGTCTTTTGGTGGGGACAAATCAATGAAAGCTTCGGGGAAGATGTAATTATCGTGCAGATTCGCTCTCGCTCAGCCCATCATATACAGCTGTCATCGTTGCCACGTCTCTTGAGTTGAGCATGACTTTCCTGACTTCCCGCTTTTGAGTCCGTCCCTTACGTGTGGAGTGTTTCAAGGGTCCAGGCAACATGCTGGTCTACGTCAACTCGGGCGATCAAGGTTGTTAGCATGGACTTTTTACGTCTGGAATGGGTCGCTGCTAGGCTGCTTGGATCATAGGCTTGATTGTAGTATGGTAGACCATCTTGATGTTGGCCCTTTGTCGCTGCTACCAACAACTCAAGAGGCTGCAGCTGCGCATGTATTTAATAGGGCTAGTAGCGTGTTCAGTAATGATCGTATGACAAAGACGTATACTCCACTCGTTAACAATAATCGGCGCTGCTGTTACAAAATCAGAAATAACAGGCATGTAAAGGGAGTCAAGGGATGCTACTATGAGGTAAACACTAACTAACCTAGGTTCGCCGCGTGACTCTCAGCTTGGTTCAATATATTCAACCAAGGCTCTTGGTACAAGATTATTGCCGGATAAGTAAAGCGTGTATAGCTGAATCAAAGACAACTTGTAGAATGTAGGCAAAGATAAGTGTCCTAAGACGACTATATTCGGTTATCATATCTAGGAACTTGAGGCCAAATGGAATAGCCCGAAGAGGTTAACTTAAAACACCGCCCCATTGTCTTTTTCTCTTTAATAGCATGGGATAGGTCTTTCTGTCCCCCGAGTCTTTAAGCTATAGCGGGACAAGTTGAAGTGAGATGAGGCATTACACCATTGATGAAGTGGTTGGCGTTGAAGGAGTGAAGAGAAAAAGCAAAGATCGGTTCAGCATTCACAGGTTTTTCTCGTTGCGTGTGACAGCGGCTTCCCTATACTCAGTCATGCTTGTTCCGGGCAAGCGTTTTCCATGTTCATACCGATATCGGTCGACAGCCATGTTTGTGACCATCCTATAAATTATGAGAAGATATCGGATCTTATGACGCCGATCTAGGGATGAACATCGTCAAGCTATCCCGGATGTCTTCATTTGAATGCACGTGCATGTCCGCAAACTGTAAAAACACGATGAAATTAATGAAATCAACTGACTGCGCCTCGTCCTCCGTGTCAGGCAACGGACATGAAAAGAACATAGAAATCACTGCTGGGAGATCCGAATTAGACATGTGCCGACACGTATGAAAAGGTTTCTGATCGAGCGGCCTTTTGGTATGTAACCGGACTAACACAACTTAAGAAACCAATAGCATTTCTTTTTTGGACCAATCAAGCATGCCATTACTGATATGCGTTCTTGTCCTGCTAGGCCGTTGGTCTCTTCCCGTCGCATTGCTCATGACGGCTGAGTAGGCACCAGAAGTAACTCTGTTGGTACATTAGCAGAGTGACTTAAGTGGCTCAAAATGTCCTACTAATAAAAGGTAGCTGCTCTTGAAACGCCCGAGCATGTCGATATTGTCATCATCTTCTGCCAAGGTTTTCATATGAGTTGTTTCGGCAACGTCCCTACCCCCAGGCGAGCCCATTCAATTTTCACCAAGAAGGCCCGCCTCTTGCATAGGCAGACACATGTTATTGTACTGCCCAAGAACTTTGCGGGGCGCAGGACTGATGGAAGCCGCCTCTGTGTGTAACGGAACTACTTGCGTTAGACTTAACTACATGTCCATTCTTATGAGTTGTTTTTGAACGTGATAACCCGAGACGAGGGGGGAATTTGCTCTTTCGATCAGCCACCGTGATATATACGATCAGAGATCATACGCTCCTCTGATCGAGGCTGTTTCGGGCTGATCGAGGAGGCATCTTGTGTTGCTTTGATGGGTGTTGGTGGTTTCCTTTGAAGCACCGCACCGCCAGAGTCCTCTTTACCCTACACTCTTTCAGTACCTACTATGAATAATAATATTTGCGGCATTCGTTGAAGTGATTATTCATATCCATAACTGAGTTATTGAAGTTGTGTATTCAATATCACTTGAACCTTGAACAAATTGAACTAGCTATCTAGCTACTGCAATAACGCCAGATTGTAGCTGTACACCGCAGACCAACACCGACAATGACAGTCCCCGAGAAGCACATCTGTAAAACGATGACAAGTATATCTGGCTTCGATGCCGCATTTGACTAGAAGAGCTTTTGCCAATGACTGAGAATCGCATCAAACGCTTTAGCAAGCGATGGCAACGATGACAGTGCTGCCTTCGCAAGAGGCTTGATGGGTATATGGGTATGTCCAGACCGACAGAAAACTGCACCGCCACGTCAGAAATATCCGTTGCAGGCGCTGCATCCTTCCTCGTTTCGTTGTTGGTCAACATCCCCCATCATGTCCGCCTTCAACGGCGATTTCGGAAATCAGCAGGAAACAGCGTCTGAGGTTTTTTTGAGGGGTTTTTTGGGGGTCTTTTTTTCATCATGCGAAGCTACGCATAGAGGTTGTGCCCGCACGAGATGCATGCAGTACTGGCGATGACTTCACGCACTCGATGCCTTAGTCAAAGTACCCGTAGGGCTTCCGGGCACAATCAGTCGTTCTGATGCATCCTAAAAGTAATTTCTGTTGGTGTCAGGTAGTCGTTCGCAATAACACAAATATAGATGATAAAGGCTGGCATTCAGTTGGCTCCAAACCGCACAAATGCGCAGAGTGACTTTCGACGCGTTGCAAATCCGCTGCGGAGCAAGATGCGGCCACCTACGGTGCTCTCTGACGAGCTGAGCCTGGGACCTGGACAGTGACACAGCATCAAACTGGCTTTCCTACCTCGCAATTGCACAGATTGGCGTTCGCCACGTTCTCAGCACGCTTATATGTTAATCAGACTCCCCGATCATATGCATGTCAACCTGCTTTGCTCTTAAGTGTTTTGTTACGTGGAACATCACGCAGATGAGTTTACGATACCTTGGAGCTAAATGTTCCCACCTAAAAGTTCCCATCGCAAATGATCAAACACCTTATTCACCACATTTCCAAAAGTGACCATTAGCAGAAGTACTGCTGACAGCCTTTGGTGTCAACCACACATTCAATCAGACGGAGACTCGGTAGAGGAATTCTTGTCTCAGCGATAGCATCGGGTCGTTTGCCCACACAGGATGCTTTGCCCCTCGAGAGAGATCTTTAGGGCTGACAGTTGCACGTCCTTAGGACAACATAGCATGCCGACACATACGTGTTCGCCCGACAAACGGCTGCGGCAGCGGTTGACTAGACAAAGACTTAGATCGAGAAGCAAGCCTCAAAGAAGTGCCCTTGCCGCCGCCGTAATGACGCTGTCGATCTTCTGCACGAGCCCCTTCTGGCCTGTGTTGACGGGTCTTCCTTGGAGAGGCGAATTTGTGTTTGCCTCTGCTTGGCGTCTCGAGGCCGGCTTCGTGATGCCTGCGTACCATGTTTCGGCGCCGAAGAGCGCGATCGGCAGTATGCAGGAGACGGCGGCTTTGCGCACGGAAGCCGCTGGTAGTCCCCTCTTTGTGTTCGTGAGGTGCCTCAGATGTTGAGCTGCCCTCTTTGCTGCAGCTGCTTTTGCGTCAACGTGGTGCCGGAAGGACAGTCTCTTGTCGAACCAGACGCCCAGCCAGCGTACAGGTTTGGTCGAGGCCCTAACCACCAAGTCTCCCGCCCTGACCTCTGGCAGCTCCGCTGGCTGGCCGTGCTTCCTAGTAAAGTGGATGACCTCGCACTTGCTCGGGTCAAAGGAGACCTTGTTCTCCGAACCCCATCTGAGATTGCCGGCTGTGCTTCGGTTGAGTATTGCGACGTTGCTCTCCAGGGAGGGGCTTATGGCCAGAGTGGCGATGTCGTCCGCGTACCCGAATCGCGCATCTGTGTCGTCTTCAAGTATCTCCGCGATGTAGAGCAGAAAGACAATGGGAGATAGTGGCGACCCCTGAGGCAGCCCGCATGATAGAGGAAAGTATTCTGTTGTGCTTTCTTCTAGTCGGACTCTGGCGGTGCGGTTGCAGCAGAAGCTGAAGATGAGTCTAATCAAGCCGTATGGCCATCCCTGCTGACGTAGTCTGACGACGAGCCGGTTTCGAAGAACGGAGTCAAAGGCTCCCTTTACGTCCATAGTCAGGAGCGTCGCCGTGAGCCCCTTTGAAAGGGCCATCTCGATGTCATGGGTGAGGCAGGCTGTCAGATCGACGGCTGACCTGCCCTGTAGCGCCCCGATCTGTTGTGGACTGACGATGCGCTCGGCAATCGCCAGAGACGCCATCCTTCTGGCTATCAGTCGCTCGAGTCCCTTGCCCAAGCACGACAGGAGCGCGATCGGCCGCCAGGACCCGGGCTTGGAGGCGTCTCTCCCTGCCTTCTGGATCATGACCACCTCAGCTCTGCGGAAAGGCAGAGGGAAGTAGCCCATCCGTATACAGGACTGGAACAGCAGCCTGACCGGCTCTGAGATGACGTCCCAGCAGGCCTGGAGGAGGCGTGTTGTGATGCCATCCACACCAGGGGTGGTTGTCTTTGTTAGGGTGGCCGCCTTCACCTCTGCTCCGCTAATATTCTCCTGCCAAGTAATCGCTCGCCTTGGGACTACAGGTACGTCAAACGGATCACCCGGTGCGTCGTCCTCTGCACTAAACCTGTCGAGAAGGGCTTCCCGAAGCGCTTGGGCCTTTTCGTTAGTATCCTCGATCGTCTGGTTGTCCACAACAAGTGGGGTGCTCTGGTCAGTGGGCTCGCCTTCCGCCAACCCATGATCTGATAGAGGTCCCGGTCTGAGGCGACTCTATCGATCTTTTCGGACCAGTACGCTCTCTTAGCCTTCCTCGCAATGCTCAGGAATGCCTTCCGCTCTTCCATTAGAGAAAGATGTGCGTCCTGCTCCGTCTCCCAGCCTTGTTGGTTGCGGGCAGCACGGTACGCTCTGTGGGCCTCTGCGCATTCCTCCGTCCACCAAGCCGCGCTTTCCCCGTCTCTTCCTCATTTCTTGCCGACCGCCTCAATGGTTCGGGAAAAGAGCTCGACGATGTGACTTGCCTGCCCGTCTAGGTCTGCCGAAGTAGGATGATCGTCCAGATTGGGCATCGCAGCTTGCCCCTGACCTGAGCCACATCTTGTGCCACAGGACAACTTTGTCGATCAGCCCACACGGGACAACCGGCACCGGAATGGGCGCAGTAGCGTAGAGCTGGCCTAACAGAGTCAGCCAATGTATGCTATCACCTGTGTGCTAACATCCATATGCAAACATAGAGGCCCACACAAATGCTGTCAGGGCCTATTTGTGTACCATCTATGCCAGCGTCTGTAAGCCATCCCCTGTATCTAAGGTATGCCGTCATCTATGTGCTAGCACGAACACTACCGTATCGTGGCGTTGGGTGCAATCGTGCTAGCACACTGGTGGTCGGACAAACGCTGCCATGTACCGTCGAGTGGTTGTATCTGTGCTAGCTTTTTTGTGCGACCACCAGTGACCTAGCACGCTTGCACCCAATGCCACAGATGCGGGCAGCACTTACCTGACGTGCTCCCTGTTTGTCAGCATCTATCTGTACGCTGGCATTTATGTGGTAGCATCTCTTTGGTAGCATCTGCCTTCTCAGTGCGAGCCATCTGTTTTCCTTGCGTCGTTCCCTTGGGCAATTCTGGACCAATAGCGGTCCTCTGCATAATCTGAATGGCAAACAAACCTGCCCGCGGTCCTGCGCTGCCAATATCGCGCCCTCAGGCTTCGAAATTACGTGTCAAATACGGCGCCTGGCTGTTGCAGTCATCGTCGTACTGCATGCTGCAGCTGCAGCAGGCCAAGTGAGCCCCCATCGCGAAGGCGAAGATGATTGGGCCACACATCTCAACACTGCGGGCGTAACTCTTTGTACGACCAAGCACGAAGCAATCCACGACGCACTTTGACGGCGGCACACTTGCCACACGAGATGTGCCCGAACTACAGTGCCGATTGAGCGTATATCATACACCTTTGCACACGTTCTTCTTGCGATTGTGTCAATTATCAATACTCCTGTTCTACCATCATACGGTTGCAGTGATGAATTTTACCTGTGTTACCCGCCTCCAAACTTGGCCCTCGTGGATGTCTCGCGATCAGCATGTGGCCGCTAAGTCCCACCAAGCTCCTGAATTCGAATGCGACACATGCGACCGTTATTGCAACAGCCGCCAAGCCATCGAACAGCACATGGCCGCTCTGGACCACTGGGCGGATTCCTCATCTGACGAGCTCGAATTTTACTGCGATTACGACTCTTGCTCCGAGGTATTAGACGACGAGGATGCACTTAGAGAGCATGAAGTGGAGGAACACTTTTACTGCAACCAATGCGAGCGGGCCTTCCAAGACCTGAATAGCATCAAGATGGTTCGTCAACAAAACACATATCACAACATCGGCCTAACGTGTGTAGCATCGCAACAGCAAGGCGCACCGGGGTAATAATGCACCCTGCCCTTTTTGTCGCAGATCATACGTGACTGCGGCTGGCGTTTTTCACCACCTAGAAGAGGGTGCATGCGAAAAAGCACCGTTAACTCGGCTTGGAGTTTATCAAGCAGTCAAGCAGCGTGATCCAGACGGCGTGCTCACGAAACGACTGCAGGAGTGGGCTGTAGGTGTCAGTTTGGAGGCCACGGTAGAGTCTTGGGATCCCGTCACCAAGACTTTCAATTGCTCCATGTGCAGCGGTCGCTTTATTTATTTGGAGTCGTTAAACCAACATCTGAAATCGCCCAAACACCAGCAGAACCTCTACCACTGCCCGAAACTAGGCTGTCCCAGGGAGTTCTGCACACTAGCAGCCGTCACCCAGCATTTACAGAGTGGAAGTTGCAATTTCATGACCTTCGAGGCTGTTCAAGAGACTGCGGCACGAATCTTCGACCCCGGACGCATGATCACCCTTTAGACAGGCCGGGGTTTGGGGAGAAAACTTAGTCGCGGGTCGAAATCGGTATCGGCAATGATAGGAGGCAGTCTCCGTACGAGGGGCCTCAACTTATCTGGAAAGTGTTTCGGTGTTTCGAATATTGAAGAGGCTTTGGAAGTGATTCCGACGATCTGTTTCATCTTGTATTCATGGTTTCAATCAAATCATCGAGCCCCGTAGGCGGCGAGAAGTTCTGTAGAGGGGGCGTTCAACAGAAATCGATCTCGACCAATCGTTATTCGTTTGTGTTCGCAACCTTGCAACAGTTGGACTCAACGAATCGGGTGGGTTGACCTGATCCGTCTCGAGTAGAAGGAACAGGTCTTTGACCCTTGCTGGGCGCTCATTCTCTGCCGCCCAATACTCATTCTGCCTCTTCCTGGGCAGTCTCTCCGGCTTACAAACCCGACAACTCCACTTGGTTTTCTGCCGTCTTGATGGGCTTACTTCCCAATTCAGCGGTCTTGCCAAATCCAAATTGATTCTGCCATCTGCAAGGGTTCTTGTACCTGTCAGCAAGCTTTCGGGGGCATTGTGCCACCCCGGCCTTTACCCTGGTCGCTCGAACTTGTCTCTCCCGTCTTACTTGAGAATTATGCCGCATTTTTCTGCCGACTGTCCATATTTTCTGCCCTTCCGATGCTGGATTCTGCCGCCCCCCAACTTTGCCATGCTTTTTCTGCCCGCCCGCCGTCCATCCGTTTGAGGAAATGTTTCTCTGTTTGTTGTCTATCCCCGATCATTATTTCGGATGATGCAGTCAAACGTAGTGTCTATGCTTCGCACTATCGCCCCAGGCCTCCTTCGGCTCTGTCCGCGTCCCCAGCTGATGCATCTTTTCCCGAGTTGAAGTACTGCTAATCCCGTCACGATCACGGCAACGGACCGCATCTCCGGAGTAGCATGAAGCCTACCAGGCCTTTAAGCATCGCCTCTGCGGATACGGACAGGTAGAACGGCCGCAGGATTATCATCAACCATGTGCACGAACGAGTGAAGGGAGCCGATCACAGAATGTATCACCGGTCTGCCGCGACAGGACACAAAAAGGCAAGGCATGATGTACCAATGTGCTGTCGAGCCAGGTAGCGATTACAGTGATCCGCTTACTGACCGATCACTGGTGGATTGTTCCCAATTCGCCCGCGTCTACTCCATCCGCATTTACCTATACTGAGCTTGACTGGCTCTTCCAATCGGCCAGCATTTCGTGCCGGTTTTAAGTACCGTGGTGATTCTTCAATACGAATGCGATGACCTAGCGACACATTAAGGGCATCTGTATGTATGGACTAGGTGAAGATAGAGCGGAGGGATGCGTTTTCCTAAGGCGCTTTGCCTACTCAAGCCTGCTTACCCCGGCGTTAAAATCCATTAAAAAGCCTGCGAACCACGTTTTGGGTTTCATAGCCAAAAGCAACTGAGGCTCAGTTTGCGAGGTGAGAGGATGCGTGCCAATGCGACCTTCGCAGATTGACTGCGATCATGATCCGATTATGGAAGGTCGTCCGAGAGAACGGAAGTGAGTACTGGATTGCAATCCATGAGAAAACCACAGAGACGCGAGAGAAAAAAAAGTGCAGCTTTCATGTGATGTGAAGAATGCTGTTCCAGACGGTTCGAAGCGCAAGGTCTGGGGCTAGCCAGAAGCGATTTGCAAGACGGCGATTCGCCTGCCCCTTCAGAATAGTAGAGCTTTCATTTATCTGCACTTTTCGAAAGATTCAGCCTTGGCAGCGCTCACCCAAATAGTCAGTCAGGTTTGTTGCGGCTGTGTGCGGCTCTAAGCGTTTTCGACCCGTAAAACTGTGCAGGGATTACTCATGGTCGAGGGAATGGCAATGCCACGTTTGCGCCTCAGATCATCACGCTTAGCGAAAGGAACCATTCGCTGGGAGAACCAATACCGGAAAATCCAGCCTGGCCTGGAATCTAAATATTAAAACAAAGTGTAGTAATGTACTTGAAGGAGACACAGCCACAATCGGCCAACACCGAACCATATCACAAACCTTACAAATGGAGCCTGAGCCACTTCATGGTAGGCTGCAAAGGCCGGGTGGACGTGGCTAATGAGTGGATCGCTGCCCCAAAATTGTCCCTACCATCTCAATGTCAGCCGAAAATTTTCCGTCATCTTCATCTCGATTCCTTGACTGGGCTGCGAGCTTGCCGCACTTGGTCATCTGTGCCGTCCGTCTTCGCTTGTTCGGTATGAGTTGCGTGAGTGGACGGCGAGGTGGCTTCGCAAACTGCGCCCTTTCGAAGTCGATCATCATGATCCCCTTGACCTCCTTGTTGAACAGCACGTTTTCCTCCCGCACATCTTGGTGGGCAACACCCCAATCATGGACTGCATTCAACGACCGCGTTGCCATCGCTATCAGGGTTTCATCTCCAATGTCCACGCGGTCTACTCCGCAGAGATTCTGTCCTCCCCACGACAGAAATGTCATGTGCACCACATACACTCGGTGGTCGTAGAAATACTTTCTGTTGATCGTTCGAATGTCGATAGATCCGAGGAAAATTGGTACGTGCACACCCTGAATGGGCCGCAAATGTTCGTAAATCTCTGCCTCGTGCTGAAGGTCACTGATGAATGCCTCTACTGTGCCTTTGCTGACAAAGGTGTAGCCATACGCGAGCAAGCTCACTTTGAACAAGATTCCTCGAGCACCATTCTGTCGCAAGGGCACGATCCCACGGTCCAAGGACCGCTTTAGCTGTTCCCTAAGAAGCCTCAGAAACCCCGTCTGGTCGATTGGATGATGAACATCTGCGCGTTCTCGTCTACGGCAGCGGCGGTTGTTAGCAGGCTTCTCGCAGTGGAGCAGCTTATTCGGGCACGCTGAGTCAAGGACAGCGCCTCCGACAAGCCCTAACAAGCACTTTTGGGTGCAGTATGGCGTATGTTTGAAGTGGCTTTCTCCTCCGCTATCACCTCGCGGTTGACGCGCCAGGACTCGCCTACTGCGTCGCGTTCCCTGACTGCCCTGGTCCGCCTGGCTTTGAGGGCCCTTTCCGCACATCCGCCGTTCCGTAGGAGTGGGTGTATCTGGCACGTCCCGTCTCTGCTCCTCGTCGGAGGATTCGTTTGGATCCCTCCTCACTTGCTCCCTTGTATGCCTGTCCCTCGCCTGTACTCGTCTCTTCCTCCGGAGCAAGTAGGGAGATCTGTCGACGTCCTTGTAGACGTTTGGTTCGTAGCCCGGAGAGCTGTCCGGTGGCTGCCTTTCTTCGTCTGGAATCGATCGTAGCGTCGTCTCGAAGTCTTCCCTCCACGTCTTCAACTTGTCGATGGCTCGTTGCCGCTCCTCCTGTCCATGCAGCCTTCTCTCGCTAGGCGCGCCAAGGGCCATCAGGCTGAAGGCTAAGTATTGGGCAACTGCTGTACAGAGGTGGGAATGCTTGGGGTGAGCTTCCACCTCGGCGAAGGGCTCCGCCAGATGATACAACAGCGTCCCAGGCTCGCGCCAGTCAACCTTCAGGAAGACGATCGCCTCGCCCGTCGTCAACAGGCCGTGCTCGAGTCCGCCTTCGATCATGTAGTGATAGGTCTGTGTGATGGCGGCTGCGGTGAGTCTCTCCGCGTGATACTGAAATCGGGCGTCTGGGTCAACTGATGTGGGGATCATCTTACGGCTGACCACTTCCTTGTGTATATTCATCGAGCGCAGACCGACGCGGAGATGTGGCGCAGTAAGCTTGTGCGGTGGTTTATACTCGGAAACGTAGAGCATCGAACGGCTGCTTGCGTCGTCGTCGTCGTCTTCATTTCGGTAGACGCAAATCTGATCGGCCCGTAGCTGTTGGAGGTTGACTTTGCTGTTGTACGGTGTGGAAGGGGGTGTCGATGGGAGGTTGCGTTCGATTACCTCCGCGGCTGTCTCGCTGAGCGCATGCGGGTGGTTCTCGAAGACGATTCCGTTGCCCAGATCGAACGCATTCTTTACTTCTTCCACCTTCTTGAGCTCGTCCATGATTGCTTTGACGGGATCTTCGACGCTGTTATGCAGGAAGTACTCGAGGGCCTTCTCGTCAGTGATCTTGCGCTTCGCGATCCTGCTTCCCAGGCCAGACAGGAACGACAGGGTCTCGAAACAGCGTTTGTCGGTAGAGAAAGTGTCGTAGAGAGTGCCGAAGACAATGCTCTGTTGCTGTAGGAAGTCGGACCACGGGCGGAGATTGGTTGGACACAACTTATCCCGCGGGTTTGTGATGGGACCCTTGGAGGTCAGCCTACGGTCCGTTTCAATAGTGAATTTGGCGTAAACGAGGGAATGGCAGGCAGTGATGTATTCATCAAGTGATGTACGCTGTGTTTGTTGTTCTGCTACCTCGGCGCGTTCTCGTTCTCTGTCCGCACGCTGTTGTTCTTGCTGTCGTCCTTTTTCCGCAGCCTCGGCGCGTTGTCGTTCTCGCTGTCGTTCTTGTTCCGCTGCCTTAGCCCGTTCTTCGGCTTGTTGCAAAAGCCCCCTCAATTCCTCAACGGTTTTCGATTCACCCATGGTGCCTGTAGTTGATGTCCTGATCACAGCCGGTTTCTAGGACCATTTTTGAACGCCGGGCGAGACAAAGCCTAGGTTTTAAGTAGCCAAATCATTACAGTGGACCCCTTTGCGTTGCTACGGGCTACGCTACCTATGCAGAGAGGGGTCAATGCACGAAGCCACATTCCTGACATCAGAGTCGTGGTCCGTGAATGCCGAACAGACTCACTGACAGGTCAAAAGTGGGGCCCATAATTGCCCACGCAATTATGGCGCCTTGTCACTCACACTGGTCATTCGCTCATCCAACATCGATCACCCGCCGCGGGAGCCCGCGGAGGTAACAGACCGTGACCTGCGCTTGCGGAGATTGTGAGCATACATACAGTATTGTGCATACAGTATGTGGCTTCCTCTTTTGTACAAACTCTCAATGTTTGAGCAGTCCTAAATTGCTGATCGATGCTGTTCTTGTGGAGGGCTGCGACACGATACGTGGAGATGCAGCCGGCGGCAAGCCTTGTACAGCGGCTGAGCTTTGCTGCCGTTATCACTGGGCGCCACAACAGTGAGTGCTTTGTTGGCTTGTACGGCGCTGAGGCACAAGGCTTCGCGATGTGCTTGTTGGAGAGCTTTCTTTATGACGCGTCCTTTCCTGTTGCGTGCTGTTCTGTAAGCCTACTCAAGTATTCGCCGTCGGACCGCGTCGAGATACAGCCGTTCGTGTACAATCATTGGCCCGACCCCCCGTCGCCCCACTCCATGTCCCCCCTGCCCTTCTGGGAAATCTCGACGCGTTCCCTAGGTATTATTCAGAGGCGATTCAAGT